CTACCTCAGAGGCTGAAATGCAACTTCCGGTGCCTCAAGATCAGTGTTTAAGCTAGATAAGGTAAAACCAGGCCTAAGGTTACATTTGCCCAATTAAGAGCAAACAGACCCATGTTTGTTTGTCCAGTGCTCCAAGTTGACCAGATAGCAGACCCAAAGAAATTGTGTTACTGAAATGTTTGAACACTCTGCCTTGCAGCAGCTTTTCATGTACATAGGTATTAACACACCTTCCAAATCAAGATTGTCTTCTACCCTATGGGTTCAGGGCAACAGTAAGCATCTCTGCATGTCTGCAAACAGCTGTATTTGCCCATCACCAGAAGTAGTCCTTGGAAGTCATCAGAAAAGTAGAAAAAACACTAATGGTAGAAACTGGTATCAAAGATAAATTTATGACAGAACACAAGAGACCTAACTGTCGAGACTGATTGTGAGGCACTTCCAGTCTTTTTGAAAGTTTCTTTTGTTTTGTTTATAAGGTGGTAACTCTGTTTTTCTGACTGGGAGGGATAAAATAGCCATAAAGATAGAAAGGAAACCAGGCTAAAACATCTATTAGTGTTATTGCTACCAGTTCAAAAGAATCTGCAGGTGTAAAGGGGAACAAGAAGAGACCCTCCCTTCTTAAAGAAAACAATCCACAAAAAAAAAAAAAACACCTGCTTTAGGGCATTTTATACAGAGCTATGTTAAAAGATAGAAGGATAAATACCTCATATTGTGAGGATTACAAATCCTTTCCACTGGAGTAGACTAAGGTTAACTTCCCTTTGCAGTCTGCTTTGTCCTATGGCTCAGCAAGCATCCCTCTGCAACTCTCCAGCCCCATCAATGACCCTGCCAAGCCCTACAGCTCATTGCAAGCACTGCCCTTAGCACCAAGTCATTCTCCTGCTTGGATGCCAGAGTACACAAGAGCTCAAGTGTCAAACATAAGATCTTACCAACAACCAGTCATTTCATCCTCCTATGAAAGCTAATAAACTTTGGAAGAGTTCAGTAGCAAAAGTAATAGAGCCAAGCATAAAAAGTAGTGCTTTTATTTTAATAGTTGTGGTAAAAGACTTCCACCTGCTTTCTAAGTAGTGAAAGAAAACTCTAAGAAGTGAAACTCTATTCAATTATTTTCTGAGTGAATACTCATGTTTTAGAGACAAAAAAAGAGACTAATTTCTTTCTGAAGATGATGTAAAGCACACCAAATCATCAAAACAGGTTGCTTCATAAAAACATCCAAGATAGTGAAGACAAACTAATATGCAAATCATACCTTGTATTCAGAAGGTCATGATGCCACTGTTCTGAATTTTCTTCTCAGTCCTTCTAATTATCTTTGCATCTTTTTTATTTTTGTATCTTCATTCATGATACTCAAGAAGTTCCCTATTTTTAATTTATTTTTATAGGCTACCCCATTTGTTTTAATTTATGTCCCACAAGAAAAAAAAAAAAAAAAGAGGCTCAGTACAAGAATTCATTCAAGGAGCACAAAGATCAAGGATTTTTTTTTTTTTTAATTGGGGTTGGACTTACTCGATTAAGGTCAAATTTGAAAAGAAATTAAGTTTTAACCAACTGAGATCTAGTGTAAAGAAATACAGATCTCATGGAAGTCTTCTGACAAGTTAATCAGTAGGATTTTATTATCAGACCAGAAAATTAAGCCCTCTATATTCAACCAAGATTAACACAAACAATGTTTTTAAGTAACCAATAAAAAAGTCAATACTCTTGCCCCATAAGTTACAATTGTTCCATCTTGTCCTCCTAGGTTCAAAGCTTTACTTGGTCAAGTTTCAGAAGTTCAGTAAGTTCAGCCAGAAGGTAGTCATTTCATTGCTGAAATAAAGCTACGAGCCTAGAATGAGAATTCTTTTATATCCATTTCCCTTCCCACCCCCATTCTAAAAGAACAAATTAAAACCTAGTTCAAATAATTTGCCTGCTTACATTACCTATTTGATAACACTTTGTTTCAAGCCAAAAGTTGATGCTATAGTTTGAAACTGATAAGCTGATACAAAAACCACCAACAGCATTTCACACTTAAGGCTTATTATCTATTGGCACACTGCAGCTACTTTATTTATATATATGCTTAACAACGTGTTGAGTGGCATTGGAAGGAGAAAAGGAATATGATAGCACCCCAGGTAGACTGATTCTATTCAGACACTATCAATACAACACTGCTGTCTTCAACTACCTGAAGAGAGTACCCGGAAGCCAGATCTTCTCAAAGGTCCATAGAGTTTGGATAGAGGCAAGAGACAAAAGTTGCAAGAACAGAAGTTCTAATTTGATATTAGGAAAGAAGCATCATAATGAGGGTAATGACATACTGCAGCAAATTACCTGGAGAAGCTAGAAGTCCTTAGAGATATTCAAAACTCAGTTGGAAAAATCCTAAGCTGTATGTAAGATTCAAGTTTGTTCTGCTTTGAGTAGCAGGTTGGACCAGCTGACTTCCACAGGTTTGTTTTAATGGAAAATTCTGATTCAATACTTGTCCAAGACTTTTCACAGAACAGCAGATCAAGGAGAACATGAATGGCGGGGGGGAAGAATGCAGCCCCAACTTAATCTAAAGCAGCATGCAGGCCCTTGTTCAAAAATCTTCTAGCAAATCCATTACAGCTGCACGGAGCTTCAAAAGGCAGTAAAGGATAATTCAGGATACTTGTACAGAGATGCTCACTTGGCAGCAAAGAAGATCAGACACTAACAGACACCATAGAGGGAATAGAAATTTATATACTAGGTTGTAAGAAATGTTTGAAAGAATAAAAAAAACAGGCATAAAGAAGAGTCTACTAGAACCAAGAAGGCAGACTTGACAAAACTGAAATGGCACCCAACAATCACGGCTCTGAAGGATGTTTGCCAAAGAAAGAATGAGAAAAAGGCACAAAAAAGTGTCAATTTATAGAACAGTTAAAAATATATTTTTTCCTTCAAGATGCATGGAGAAAAGGAATGCATAGGGCTAGAAGAGGATGTAAGTCCAGAGGGACCATCTAGAAAATGCATGCAGAACAGGAGTTTCTTTGCTACTTCTGTTTTTCCTTTCTAACCTTTGCAGACACTGAAGCCCTGCTTTTGGGAACTTCTAGGGTTTGTCTCAAATGCAAAGAAGCAGAATAAATCACAGACAAAAGGAGGGATAACCAAAAAATAAGATACTGGGACATGCTATCCAGTTTTGGTATAGTTACAATACCCAACCCAGAAATGGGAATATACAACTGCTGATTTGAAATAACTGAAGATGTACTTTTTGGTACCAAAGAGGAGGAAAGTGGCAAGCATGAGGCTACTTTAAAGGAGATTCAGGGAAGACCTATACACTGAGCCTGTAAGCCTTATGTCTCTATTAAGCAGTTTTATTTTTTGTTTGTTTGTTTTAAAAAGGGGTAGCACTGAATGTGCTTTAGATAAACATGGAAGAGTCAAAGCAACTTTTTCGAAGGGAAATCTCTAAAGGAGGGAATGCAGCAATCAATCATGCAGCTGATGCAGTCAGCATGCACATCCAGAAGTCTTGTAATAAAATAAAGGCTTTCAAGGAAGTTAGCTAGTTATGTGAGAGATCCAGTAACAGACAGTAACTGGCAGACAGCTCTTACTCAGTGTAACGTGCTACCAGTGCTGCTTCACAGACATAGAGATGAAAAGGCCTGCTAGTTAGCTCACAGAACTAAGTTGATCCTTGTCATTATTACTACAAACATCCGCATACGGATTCTATAAGACTGAGTGAATAGACAATAAACTTGCAGATTAAATTCAGCAAAGGTAAGCAGTATGTGGAAACTATGAACTAACAAACTCTAAGCTCAATACAGATGAGAAAGTAAGCTATTGGGCTAACACTAAATGGTTTCATGACCCTTGAAAGGGAAATGAACACAAAATAGTGTACTATAGTAATAATAGTGCAACTACTCTATACTAGTAGAGTAATAGTAGTAGTAACTGTAGTGCATTCACATCCCTGACTTCTTTACCTCCCATTCTTTCCCCTTCAACTAGCCAGCTTGGCAAGAGGAAAAAAGACTGGAAGTCTGTCCTCTTGATTAAAATTATGATGAAGGATGTGCTGAAGTTGATCAAACTGTGATATTTACAGCCTGAGACAATATGAACTCTAAACTCCTGGGTGCAGCACATGAATGTGTGAGGACAGTTAATGAACACTGGAATAGTAACAGGCAACCCTGTAAGGTAGAAGGTGTCAAGTCCTAGCAGACTTATTTATGCTTTACTCCAGAAATGATCTCTATTGCATCCACTCATTTAACTATGCCCACGTCAGTGAGCATACTAATAGATAAGCAGCATGAACTGTCAAGTCCAGTAATCTAGCTTGTTCCTCAGACAAATGTTACTTAGCAGCATGGATTCAGTGCTGTCTACAAACCTTGTTTTTAATACTCTAATGCTGTGGATAGCTGCTTTCAGCTACAATTTCAGCCCTTTGTGCAGGACTCTTTGCAGCACCCATGACAAGCTGTTGTGACAGAGACAGCAGGAAGCACAAGCAGAAAGAGGCCTGCATTCTAGGACAGCAGAACAGAAGTTACCCTTGGCACAGCCATATTTCCTGCCTCTAGATACCTAGAGAAGAAAAAAATACTTTTTAATCCTAGCTCTAGGATGTGTGATGTTGTCCAACAGATAAGCCCTCCCCTGAGAATCTTCTGCCCCATATTCTTCCTTCTAAGAGGTACAGTCTTTGTTACACACACAGGTAAACAATTCTCTCAGAGCTTAGTCAGCTGAGAGTTTTTTCCAACACAACCCAGAAGAAACCTGCAAAGATTCTCAAACAGAAAAACTACAAAGAAACAATAATCTGTCCTGGCTGGAAAGAATTTTAATCATAACAAACACAAACGTCCTTACAGGGACAGGGTGTTGAACTCTTCACTGTCCACCTACAGCAAGCAGTTTTTCATCTTTCATTGTTTGCTAGGAGTTGTCAAACATTTGCTTACCTGAATGAAAGTAGCACCCTCTACTGCATCCTTCAGGTCCGTGCAGACACTGATGAGAGCTAACTGCTTCTCTGCACTCAAAGTTCCTTTCAGGAATCCTGACTCCTCCAGCTCTTTCATTTGTTTGCTAACAGAAATAAAGCACATTTATCTACATTATCATTTTAAAGCCATTATTATTATTTTTCAATAAAAGCTTCTTAATGACATAGTAACGACACACTATTTGTCATGCCACAGTATATATAGTCAGAAACAAACGTTCATTTCAGTCCTTTATCTTTGTTTCTCTCTCTCTATTCCCCTCCTTCCTTCTTTTCATACGTGGACAGCTAAGAGATCTATTCCTACTCCCAGATTAGTCACCACGTTAGATTTGTTTTTACTAGTGCAGGATCAGCAAGAACTTCTCCTTAAATTTAGTGTACCTTCTATTTTTTTCCTATAGTATTACTAACAATAGCCCTTTTGTTATGACATCTCACTATAGCATCATTGTTTAACCATATTAAAAAAAGGAACAGAAGTATTCCACGCAGCCAGAAATTGTTCATAAAAAAAAAAAAATCCCCCTAACATAGGTAATGACTACAGCATGTCTGAAAATTTCTGTAATTAATAAATTGAGTGGCCAGAACTTTAACTGAACATTCAGGTACACATCACTGCTGCATTTGGACAAGCCACCTGATGAAGTCTCTACAGCTTGAAACCCTCAAAAGCTGAGAGCAAGCAAGCCATTTTCAAAGCTGCTCAAGTAACTGAGAAGTGCAATTTTCACAGAAGTTATGTGGGATTAAACCATCTGATCACTATGAACCTGAAGCTCTCTGAAACAACCATTAATACATTTAAGCTCATCAGTTGCCTAAGTTCAGAACTTCTCTATAGCTTTGTTATTATTCAGCAAAAATTGCTCATTCTGAAGAGAGGAAGAAATTCAGCTGATGGTTATCAGCTGATAACTGGGGGGAGGAGTGGGGTGGAATAAATAAATCCTTTGGCTTCTCTTTGGTGCTTGCTTACATAATAAGTAAATTACACTTGGCACCCAGCTGGAGGGTAGAAAAGCCACAGCAAATAGAAGCTGTACAGCCTGGGGAGAAAAAAATGTGTATTCCTGTATTACAAATATCACACAGCTGAGTATGGAAACAACTAGTGATCCATCACATGTTCCCTAAGTGACTGTGACACAAAGGCACACATGACAGTTGGTACGAAGGGATTTCTGGAACAGTACCACTGGACTTAGTTTTGCAGACACCTCAGAAGAGACAGGGACCCCAAATGTTTCCTATATTAACTACAGCAGCCAGAGGCAAATGCTGCCCTTAATACGTACAACGCCAGGCAGGCAGTTAGCCTTGGAACAAGGGTAGCATCAGCTCCAGCACTTACACTGAGGCAGCATTTCTTCATCTCTACCAGCCAGGCAGCTGCAGCCACCTTTACAGCAGCAACCCCAAGCAGAGGTATTGCAGACGGATTGACTGCACCTCAGCTTTCAGCTGTTGTATGAAATTGGGGTGAGAAACCCATCAACAGCTTTCCACGCGACATTTTAAATTAACAGAAGAGGGAGAGGGATGCAGGCCATTCTGTCTGCATCTTTTACTCTCTGCTTTTCAGACTGCCTGCTGAGCAACACGGGCTAACATATACACACTGTCAATCCATCCTTTTATTTAGAGCTCTTTACTGTCAATAAATGTTGAATCCATAGATCTAATATTGTGTTCCTCCCCTAGATTCCCTAAATAAAATGAAGATTAATCCTACCCTGTCAGCACATTCTGAGACAATAACCTTCAGTTCTCTTTCAGAGAGGAAAACATAGTGTCTTTGTCTGATTTTTTTTTTTTTTGGCATTCAAATGTGCAAGTCTCATCTTTATAATAGAAGTACCTATTTCTCCCTGACAGAAAATAGCAAAAACCAAGCCATTTCAATCACAGTATTCTTAAGTTAGCAAAGATAAAAGTTACTTATACAAAAACAATCCAGTTCCTATTAAACTACGCAGAAGCAAGTCCAACCTCAGAGATTCAGTGGGCCCTCAAATATTCAGCTTGAGCTGAAATCAACTATCAAATTGCAGAGGTACAGATGCTGAAATAAAATTCTGATTTGTTATATTTTCTTGGACACAACATAACTAAACTCTACTAGTTCCAACATGGTTTTATTAAAAGGTCATAACTAGCAGAATCATAGAATCCTTAGAGTCGGAAGGGACCTCTGAAGGCCATCTAGGCCAACTCCCCTGCAATGAAGACAGACACCACAGTGAGACCATGCTGCCCAGAGTCTGATCCAGCCTCACCTTCAAAGTCTCCAGGGACAAGGCATCAACCACATCACTATATAACCTGTTCCAGTGCCTCACCACTCTCACTGTAAAAGATTTTTTTTCCTTATATCTAACCTAAACCTACCCTCCCTGAGCATGAAGACATTTCTCCTTGTTCTATTGCCACAATTTTTTTTTTTTTTTAACCACCTTCACTACATACATTTATTGGCAATGTGATTGTCTTATTCCACAGATGAACTTTAAATAGAGTTTAGCATTTGGAAAACTTAAATTCCCCTTGGGTCCTTCATTACCACAGAAGCATAAGCAATGGCAGGGAGCCTCCCCAATACTTAACGTGCATTGAACAGTAACAGACTGGTTAAGGTACACAGCAGTGCACCACTGACCTCTACTGGATGACTTTTTATTCAGAGCAGTTTCAACTTCAGGGCGATCATTTCCAAGAACGAGCACAGACTCCAAGGACAAAGCAGTCATTGCTGTAGGACACACCACATGACTTCACACTGCAGCTATACCGCATGCAAAGCTTGACAAGTTTGGCTCAGTATCCATAAGGTCTTCAGAGAATGAGAAATTCACACCCAGAAGAAAATATTAATTTTTTGAGAGCCCACAATTTGACATTGCATATCTCCAGTGCTTCACTGTTGTACTGGACTGTGTGTCAACACTATTCTGGGAACTGAACCAGTATACATTTCAAAATAGGGCACCCAATCTATAGCAACACTCTGGGTCCAAACTGCCTGTGATGCTCTTGATGACAACACCTATTGCAGAAGGTTTTAAAGAAGGGCCTTGGAAGTGATGCCAATAATTAAAGTCTTTTTCGTAATATTACTACAGCAGGGCAAAGGACTAGAGAGAATGGAAGTAGGCACCATGCCTAAAGGAATTTGGCCCTACAGCTTCCAAACCTAAACAGTTCAGCACAAGCTCAGAGCATGTGTATGAGTGACCACCCAGACAAGACTGAGCAGACAAGCACCAGAGCACTACTTAGCACAAACTCCCCAGCCTTCACATCTCAAGAAACCAACACATTTCTGAATGCAGAACTTCTGAAAAGCAGAGTTATCAACTCCAACACAGCAGCGACCCACCTCCAGGCCTCACAGCTCCTTACAAGAACCTGGAAACTTTTCTTCCTCAGTGATTGGAAGAAACTGTCATGGGGGAACAATTAGACCAGTCTCAAACTTCCCATCCACTTTTTCCATACAGTATTCCTTCTACAGCTTCATTACCTTATTATTAGTGCAGCATTACCACTGTGTTTTATCTTTATCAGCAACATAATTCTTTTTAGAGTAGTAGCATGGTACCTATTTGAAAGAAATCTACACAACAATCAATGGGCAAGGGGGTAGCACACACTATATGGTATGTTTTAGGCTTAATTTCAGGAATACCACACCATTTGTTTTTCTATTTTTCATTATTTTAAAGTTCAGCTATCTTGCAATCAAACCAGAATCACGAGGACTCGGAAGAAAAAGTATCAGATAGGAAAGGTTACACCTTCCAAGGCAGGTTACTACAGGGTTTTTTCAGTAGGTCAAGTGGCATGAAGCTGTTCAATTGATTTTTTTTTTTTTCTCTTCCCCCGGAAAAAAGGTTGTTCCATTAGAGCAAACACTGGTTAATGATGCTACCAGTACACCCAGTTCAATCCAGCATGAAGTCACTTTTTGTGTCAGGGCACCACATGCATGTCAGCAGGTAGGCAGGCCGTGAATCCACTAAGCCAAGCTAGGCCTTAGTAAACGCACTTTCCTTTCCACACCTGGTCTACTGCTATTGTGGTAACTGTTACAAGTTTCCACTTGCATCAGTAGATGCAAATTCCAGTTTGGTCTCATTTTTGGGCACACATTCTGGAAATAGCACAGAACACATTTCAGAGTTTCCATGCAGATAAAAGCAGGCCCTCATCACCAACTGCAGGTCCATCCTACTCTCCTGCCTGTCCTCTTGCAGATCTGTGCACCTGCTGTTTTGTGAGACCTAAATTCTCTAGGTTAAGGAATCCTGAAATGCACTTCTTACGCAGCTTGCATATATTCAGAACAATGAGTTAAACCATTGTTCCAAAAGTGAATCACATAATAGCTCATTTCTACTCCTTATAAAAGTGCTTTGTACTACTCAAATCTTCTCCTTAGTTTAGAAAAGAAAAGCTAAAAACATTCCTTTATACTCTTCTGTTTAATATTTTAAAGTAGCTCCATACTTTTAAGTCATGGACTAAAGAACAAAACCCTTTTCAACACTGAATTAAAAACAAACAAACAACACCACACAACCACACACCCAAAAACAACACTCCCACAACTACATTTTAAAAATTTCCCAGAAAGCAAATCCCAGCAAGTTCAGAAAAGTAACTACCAACTGCTTTGTCACTCAGCTTCACCAGGCAGGCCCTGCTGCTCTCCTCTATGAGCCTTCAGGATCTGCTGAAGTTCCAGCTCTTATAAAAATATCATCTCAGTAATGCAAACAGTTTTACTGCAGGTTGTGTGCTATGAAATCAGTGCCAAAAGAATGTTTCAGTTTAACTGTATTTTCACAGATTCAATCATTAAAATATTGGTTGGGAAAAAAAAAAACAACTGCATAGCTTGTGTTCTTGTCACAAATGCTATGTTTTTCTGGAACTAAACTGTTTAACTAAGATGTTAGAACAGCCAAGATACATAAGTTAATTATAAGTTGAGTTAAGAACACCTTATGTAAAAGGCAAAACCTGCCCTGAACTCCTATGGAACAGCACATACAGGCACAGGACAGTACACTGACACACCTCAAATAGCTCTCCACCCAGCTATACACAGTAATTTGTTTCTCTTTTCCAAGCTGAAAACCTCAGAATACTGAAGTCCTCATTCTGCTATTAGACAAGGAATAAAAAGGGATGAGTGCTGGCTTTACTAACATATCATGCAGAACTCCTTCCATTCTCAATAAATCTACAGTCTTACTGTGGATAGTGCTATGACAGCAAATCTGCAAAAAAAAAAAAATGCAAGTGTAATAAATATGTTAGGTTTGATTAATATCTACCTGCAGAGCTTTGGAAAAAAAAAAAAAAAAAACAACAACACAAAGACAAACCATCACTTAAGATAGATTTTCCCCTCCTTCACTATCAAATCTTTTTTTTTTTTTTTTTTAAAAATAAAGCACATCTCACTAAAGAGTGCATATTGCTTAACCTTCAAACTCCAAGAACTGAACTAATTCAACAAGTGGCTTCTGAAGTCCCTCCCCCTTATGAGCCTTGATTACTCAAAATAATCAGAATGCAACATGCCATAACCCTTTTTCAGGTGAAACTTCATGGCTATACCAGCTGCCACATAGCAATTACTATTTAATTACAAGACAGCAGGAAGGGAACACTGAAACATTTTGCTTTATACTTATGATCAAACAATCTGAACTTCAGAATTAAATGCTGGTAAAGCAATATAAGGCTGTGTGCAGAATCACTCTATCAATGCATGTCCCCTCCCACACAGACTAGATTCCAGGACTCCCAAGAAGAGGGTGAACAGGACCAATCAGTCACTGTTCCTTCTAACTTATGAACCAGCGGCCAAGTAAAGCAACTGAGGAACCAGGTTCAAAGCAAACAAAAGGGAATAGCTCTTCATGCAGAGAGCAGTAAACCTGTACATCACAAAGTCCCTTGGCAAGGAGTTCATAGAAAGATTTACACAAGTTCAAGGGAAGGTTAAGAGAAATACTTGGAAGCAATATGGTTAAGAGTCACTCAGTACATATGCAACTTCAAGGCACCGTAGGTTCAGGGAGGGGAAACAGACAGGCAAGACTTGAACTTATAGCTCTCATACATTCCCAAAGAATGGTACTTTCCCCACAGTGCAACAAGGTTATCAGAGAAAAGGGTTGGGGTGTACTGCTCTGAAGAACTGACTGTTCTCATGTTCAAGCCCTCAGATCTGCACTTTTTAAAGTGCTTCCAAGCCTCTACTGTAACTGGTCAGCAGTTGTGTCTTCAGTAGAACTAGCTACCACTTCTTCTAGGACTCTGAAAAAGTTGCTTCAAATTTTTAAAATATTTCTAATTAAAGAAAACTAGTAATTACAGTACAGCTCCTTAGCAATCAATATTAGCCTCTTTGCGTCTTTGTTGTATTTCTACACAAAAAACCTTACACTCCTGTATTTAATCATAGTCTATAGATAATCTAATCACAGAAAACATGATTTCAAGAACTTGGATCTAAACTTAAACTCCTAAGAGATTTGGGAACATGGTTCTTCTGATAGTAACAGGAGCATTAGCATAGAACTACGACTTTCTTTAATGCTCAAAAATCTATGCTCCCTCGAATAATAAGACTCTTCACTCCTAGTTACAGAAATCCCACAGGTTCATTACAATGTCAGTCATTTGCATAGTCTGGCAGTGATAGGACAAGGGAGAACGTTTTAAACCAAAAGAGATGAGGTTTAGGTTAGGTGTTAGGAGGAAATTCTTTATTCAGAGGGTGGTGAGGCACTGGCACAGAGCACCCAGAGAGCCGTGGGTGCCCCACCCCTGGAGGGGCTCAAGGTCAGGCTGGATGGGGCCCTGGGCAGCCTGGGCTGGTGGATGGCAGCACTGTTGATGGCAAGGGGTTGGATCTGGATGGGCTTTAGGGTCCTTCCAACCTAAGTGATTCTATGATGGCAACTCAGGAGACATACCGAATGTTTTCCAGTGCAGTTGTTAATTGTTGTTGTGCAATATCATAAAGTTTCACTTTGAAGCCTCCAGCAGCAAACACCATGGCCCAGCTGCGACCAATGAGTCCACTGAAAAGGAAATAAATATTAACCAATTAATAAAAAAGTATTTTCTTCAAGGGTCCAACGAGCACTTCAGGAACTAAACCGCAGTTTGAATTCTCCAGCATTTAATCTAAAGATTGGTTACATATTAATAACAATCTAATCTCTCTCTTCAGCAAAGAAATATCCTTCACTAGTTGCACAGCAGCTTCTGAGAGCAAGGAGAAAGATAACAAGGAATTAAAAATAGAAGGAGGGCAGAATTTTAAGGAGTAGAAACCACTACTTTGGGACGCTGGATTCAAGCATCAATAGTTTTGCCAGCTGTAATCCTAACCTAGGAGCTGGTGAAAAGAACCACATTACTCGTGGTCCATTACAGAGAAATCTATAGTAACCAATAATTGTATTACATTAAAGCAATGCTGGTTTTAACTTAAGTAGTTTTATTACTGGGCATTAGCTTCTTCAGAGAGAAGCACTGAGACACAGTGCAGTAAGTTTAAGTAACTTCAGATCACATGAAAAAAGTAACAGCCCCAGCAAGAAGAACTCCACAGCCACATCTGTCACAGTGATGGCACTGATCATTACATGCATTTTCTGCCACTTCCCTCATTGCTGTCCCTGTAACACTAAACTTAAACAACCTCTGGCATTTGGGAAAAGGAAAGGCCAAGAGGGTAACAGTAAAGGACGGTGGGGGTGTAATAAACTGAGATAAGTCAGCAGACCAGATGCAAAAAGAAGGAAGAGAAAAATAGGAACACGTTCAGGCTTTATCTAAAGTAGAACAAAAAGAGAACAAACAGGAAGCTTTGGGGAAAAAAAGCAGGAATCAGAGAAAATAACTGAGACAAAAATAAAGTGAAACTTCTCATTTAGTAAAGTTGAGTGAGAACTGCCCACTTAAAGCATCAATCAAACACATGCCATAGAAACCCAGAGGCCTCATCTCTCAAGCAAGCTACAGAATAAGTGCACTTACAACAAAGACAGGTACAGGCCACAGTAGATGCAGCAGCCCCCCAGCTAGCGAGCACTTGACAACTGAAAGCACTGGAGTACTTCAACTCTAAACAAGCATACCTGAGCTACCAATACCTTTATAAACTAGTAAGACCTCTTCAAACTGCACTTTGAATAAGGGTTATTTAAATCAACACTTAACAACAGCAATATAAGTTTTATTTTCATACAGATTTTTAGAACTGTCAGATTTGCTTTCTTTAGAACTCCACAGCGCACAAAGCTGCTGGGCTGCAGGCAGCAGCCTCGCACTATTCCCGTCGTACACGACAGCACCAGCACGACGCGTGGCTGAAGCGATGACCCCAGGGCTGCCCTCCCGGACACGAAGCGCCGTCACCCGGGCCCAGAAGGAAGCGCGGCACCCCGGGGTCCCACCTGCTCGCCCTCGAGGCGGGCGGCGCGCGGCGGTGCCTGCGGGCCGTGCTGTCACATGGCCGTGCCGGACACGTGCCGCTCAGCTCCGGCGCCGCGGACACGGCGCGACTGAACGCCGCGCGGCTGCGCTCAAGAAAAGGACGTCGGCTCGAGCTCAAGGAGAGGGTGAAGCACTGCACTCGGGAGTCAAACACCGCCGTGTGTTGTGAGAGCACTGCAGGAGCCCGCTAGAGAACACCAGCAGCTCGATGACCGTCCTGGCTCTTACGAGCTCTCAGCCTCCTGTTCCAGCGCTCCACTTGTGCAGAAACGGGACGGAGCACAGAGGGCAGCGCTGCTGCAGACCCGCAGGAGGCCGTTCGTTACGGAAGCGCCGCCGGCTGCCCCGGGGCGCACAGAGGCCTCCCGGCCGCTGGCAGCGCCCACCCGCCGGCAGCCCGCAGAGTCCCAGCCGGCAGCCATCTCCCCAGCGCCGCTCGCAGCCGCTGCCCCCTACTGCTGCGGATTGCGGCCGCAGCCCCTCTCCCCGAGGCCCGGCGCCCCCGGGCCGCGCCGCCCCGCGCGCAGCGCCCCCCCGCGGACGGGCGAGCAGCCCTCACCTGCCGACGATCGTCACCCGCGTGGACTCCATGCTCGGGGGACGCGCAACCACCGCCGCCACGCAGCCGGGGGCGCCGTCAGCGCCTTAAAAAACGCCCGCTCCCCACCCACGGCTCCCGCCATGTCACGGCCGCCCCCATTGGCTCCTGCTACGAGCGCTGCCATTGGCCGCACGCCGCGCCCCTCAGCGGCCACTCCTCGAGCCCGGCCGGCCGCCCTCGCTCCCCCGACGGGAGGCAGTCCGCTTCGATGCGGCCGCGCCGGCACCTGAGGGAGGCTCTCGCGCGGCCCGATGGAGGATGGCCACGACGTCTTCCCTCGCGTCGAGGGGGCGGTCCTGCCCGGCGTTTATGCGCGGTAGCCCACGGGCAGCGCCGTGAGGCAGCAGGCGGGGTCTCACTTCCAGGACAAGAGCAGCCTTTGCCAGGACGGAGTCTGCCCGGCCTTCCTCCGTGCAGGTGTGCTGAACCGCGGCCAGCATCTTGCAAAGACCTCAGTTTTACCATACTAGCAAAAAGGACGGGAGCCACAGCTTCAGAGCTGTTCAGGTTCTACATCAGCTCCCACTGAAACTCACCCAGCTGTGAGTCGGGGCCTTGGGAGCTGCTGCCTCCCACCCCGTCGTGCCTGGGCTGCAGAAAGCTCTGGATTCCAAGGTGATGTTCAAATGAAAAGCTAAATTCCATGCTTTATTTATTCATTAGGGAAGCACAGTTATCATTCAGAATACTTTCTTCCTGAATTCTGATGATACATTTTTGCTGGCCTTGTTTTTTTCCACGAGAACTTTTCTATATTCTGAAAGAATGTGTCGACAAGGTCAACACAATTAAGGTGACGGCTCTATAATTTCTGCTGAAGTCTGCATTATCTGTTTTTTTGTTTATTCTGTGTAGTTCCCATTCATCTGTATATTGCTCTGTTATCATGCTGAATGTTCCTGAAAAGAAATAAAAATTAAGATTTTAAATATTTACTTGCTACCAAAGATCTGTACACTTAACATAGCTGAGAACCACTTGTAAGTTTTGTGTTAATGGCATACTGAAAAAAGTTACACTGAAAATAATTTTTTCCCCTCAGAATAAGTGTTTCATAATTACTGAATGTCAGTGAATCAATTTGACTCTCGTTTCCAAAAAAAAAAAAAAACAACAACTACATAATAACTACAAAACATTGTCAATATCTATCCCCCTCACTAGCACTGGAGTCACAGAATAGCCTGGGTTGGAGGGGACCTCAAAGATCATGAATCTCCAACCCCCTACCACAGGCAGGGCCACCAACCTCCCTGTTTATTACTTGAACAAGGAGGCAGATATCTCAAAAGTATAAATTCCTAAAGGTCTCATGATGACCACCCACGGGAAAGCAAATAGAAGGAAAACCAAACTACACTCTCTCTGACCTCAGCACACAAACACTGCATCTGTAACATGGCAGCTACTGTTAGTAGCTGAAAAATGGAGGAGCCAAGTGCAGGCCACTGGCCTCAAGATTGTAGGAAGTGGGGCAACAGCATGCAGGAAACCTGTCCTTGCCAGTTTATGTGTCAGAAGCATTGTTCTATTATTTCATAGCAAATACCAGTTTTGCTCCTTTAAAGACTAATTTGAAATTGCATGACTTGGCACATACTACAAAGTACTTTATCTAGCCAAAGTGTAATTGAAGCTCTGTATATTTACCTTGTGTACGCAAGTTTTTACTTAAAGAAAAAAAAGTTCCCAGATAAAATAGATGTATTTTGGACTTTGGAAACATGGTTTTGAGAACAGGATCATTATCACTCTCACTTGGAATTACTTACAGGTTATCTCAATATTCAATGACACACTGAGATGCATATTTATATCTGAAGTTGCCTTATGACAAAAGCAAGACTCAGTGATAGACAAGTTGATAAGAAGCTGTGGGGAGAAGGACCTGGGTGTCCTGGTGGACAACAGGTTGGCCATGAGCCAACTGTGTGCCCCTGTGGTCACAAAGGCCAATATTTTCTTGGGCTGTATTAAAAAGAGTATGGCCAGCAGGTCAAGGGAGGTGATCCTCCCCCTCTACTCTGCCCTTTTGAGGCCACATCTGGAGCGCTGTGTCAGTTCTGGGCTCCTCAGTTCAAGAAAGACAGGGAACTTCTGGAGAGAGTCCAGAAGAAGGCCACAAAGTTGATGAGGGGCCTGAAGTATCTCCCTTAGGAGGAAAGGCTGAGAGACTTGGGACTGTTCAGCCTTGGGAAAACTGAAAGGGGATCTTATCAAACATCTAAAAGATGGGTGTCAAGTGGAGGGGGCCAGGCTTTTTTCAGTGGTGCCCAACAACAGGACGAGGAGCAACAGTCATAAACAGGAAGCGAACAGGGGCAACAGTCACAAACTGGAACATAGGAAGTTCCACATGAATGTGAGGAAAAACATTCTTTTAGAGTGACAGAGCACTGGAATAGGCTGCTCAGAGAGCCTGCAGAGTCTCCTTCTCTGGAGATATTCAAAACCCATGTGAACACTTTCCTTTGCGACCTACTGTAGGGAACCTGCTTTAGCAAGGGGTTGGATTCAGTGATCTCCAGAGGTCCTTTCCAATCCCTATAATTATTTGATATAGGGAAATTAAGAGCTCAATCAAACAAGTTAGGAGGAGTTAGTGCAGGAGTTTGAGAACAGTTACATGGGCTGCAAGTTCTATTGGTGACCAAAACAAGAGATCTCTGGGAATAAAATCTGAACTGTTCTATTACCATCAGTGTAGCAGTAACAGTGCCACATAACTCTACATTAGTTATTTTATTAGGGCACAAAAACAGCCTTATTCCCCATTGTTTTTGATAGCCAGACACACTAATGAGCCCAAGCTACCAACACATGAATAGGTCAGAAGAGAAGAAAGAGAGATTTACAAGCAAGGAAAACAGAGAGAATTATGTTGTAATTAGTGTATGTCAAGGAAAGGCAACGTGGTTAGAAAGAAAACAACATTAGTTTAACTTTTGTGTAGCAGCATAAGAATTTTTAGATCTAGTTCTTGGAGCTTCTAAAATATACAACAGTAATTCTGCAGCTCATGTGGGAAGGACAGAAGATACCTCCAGCCCAGAGGCATCGAAAACCCATAATCACGAAACGGTGAAAAGTTCTAGGTTCCATTAGGGGCTGAAAAGTAAGGCTTATATTGGCAGGAGGAAAAGCCCAAGTGGAGCAAGTATACACTCACCATCCTCTACATTCATTTTTGTGGTCCAACAGCAGTAGGAGCAGATTTGACTTAACACGTTGGGAGCTCCAAAGTTGCCTCCTCCATGTTTTTAGTGTGTATTGAGCATGCTCAAGCATGCCTCACAGAGGAGGTGAAAACCACTATTGGCTGTGGAGGGGAGGTGGGATTACTGCAGGGGAGGAGCAGGGCACTATAAAAAAGTCTGGGGAAAGAAAAGGAGGAGCATTACCAGTGCTTGCTGGGAGCTAGAGGGGTTAGAATGTGGAAGAGGTGGGAGTGTGAATCCACATGCAGGAAAAAAAGAAATCACATGTCTCTAAAATACTGAATGTCCTAGTCTGAACTTTTGGCAGGGAATGAAAACAGAGCCACAGGTCATCCTTGTTAGATATTAGGCTGTTTTAATGTGTTACTTTTTACCAGCAGAATCAGAAAGTATGTTTATTTTGTAATTGACTATGGTATGTTGTTGATATGATAGTAATGTCTCGGGAAATAAAGTGTGCTTAAATAATAGTTTTCATTTATTAATTTTATTTCTATCCTGTAAAGTTCTAAGTAGTGGTTTACACAATAATTATAATTAGTGTGTTTTAAAATCATGTTGTTATTGAAACTATAATTTTGATTATTACTAGCAATTTGTGCAGTTTACAGTGTAAATGGTCTGATGCAATTATTGCCAATAGCACTAAAATGCTGATTCTTAAACTATCTGTAGGAATCAGAAATCTCATAGCAAAAAAAAAACAACTATACAAATGCACGATTTAGAAAAAACAGATAGAATTATATTCATTAATGGTAGAAATACCCATCAACAAAGTAGTTCCCCTGATGTAGTGTCTTTTAAACCCTGTGCTCCCCACAGGATGTGTGCTCCAGAACCTTCACTACTCTCCTCAGAACATGTTCCAAGGCCTCAATGACCTGGATACACTGGACAGATTGATTGATGGGTCCTGCGTTTTGGTCACAACAATCCCAGACAACCCTACAGGCTTGGGGAAGAGTGGCTGGAAAGCTGCCTGATGGAAAGGGACCTTGGTGTACTGATGGGCAGTCGGCTGAATATGAGGCAGCAGTGTGCCCAGGTGTGCCCAGCAGTGTGCCAAGAAGGCCAATGGCATCCTGGCTTGTAACAGGAATGGTGTGGTGAGCAGGACGAGGGAAGTCATCCTGCCCCTGTACTTAGCACTGGTGAGGCCTCACCTCAAGTGCTGTGTTCAGTTTTGGGTACCTCAGTACAGACAGGACATGGAGGTGCTGGAGCAGGTCCAAAGAAGGGCAACTAGGCTTGTGAAGGGCTTGGAGAATATGGCCTGTGAGGAGGGACTGAAGGAACTGGGGCTGCTCAGACTGGGGAAAAGGAGGCTGAGGGGAGACATTATTGCTCTCTTCCAATATCTGAAAGGTGCTTACAGCGAGAGTGGGGCTGGTCTCTTTTCACTGGTGACAGGTGACAGGATGAGGGGAAATGGCCTCAAGTCACACCAGGTCTAGGTTGGATATAAGGAAACATTTCTTTACAGAAAGGGTTGTTAAGCACTGGAATAGGCTCCCCAGGGAGGTGGTCGAGTCACCATCCCTGGATGTGTTTAAAAACCATTTGGATGTGGTGCTCAGGGACATGATTTAGCAGAGGGTTGTTACTTAAGGTAGTTTGGTTAGGTCATGGTTGGACTCAATCTTTAAGGTCTTTTCCAGCCTGAGTGGTTCTATAATTCTCAATGTCTTGTAGTGGGGGCCCAAAACTGAACACAGAAGTCAAGATGTGGCCTCAACAGAGCTCAGTACAGAGGGACGATCCCCTCCCTGCTCCTGCTGGCTGTATTTCAGTCACAAGCCAGGATGCCATTGGCCTTCTTGACCACGTGGGTGCACTGGTGGCTTACGTTCAGTTGAGCGTTGACCAACACCCCCAGGTTCTTTTCTTCTGCACAGTCTTCCAGCCACTCTGCCCCAAGCCTGCAGTGTTTCAAATACATTCTTTATTTTCTTTATTCTCAGAAATTTCTAAAGGTATGCAGACAAGATCCATTAGTTTCAAGAGGACTGTTTAAATGCAGCGATACTGTGTGTGGATGTTAAGCTGAAGTGCTTCAGTTGACAACTTCTGAACATCTGGTCAGTCAAGGGTTGAATACTAGAAAATTATTAACTTTTATAAAATTTTAATGGGAGAAATACCCTTTCAATTCAGACCATTAAATATATATATATATATAAATATATCAAAACCACACCTTAGGAGCTGGGCAGACAAACAGTTAAACCCACAGATCAAGGGTAGGGCGTGCAGGAACAGTGATTACAACACAGATGGTGGCCAGTAACCCCTGAACTCAAGTTAGCAGGTGCTGGAACAGTTTGTCTGAGCCCTTACATGCAATGTTACTGCAGCAGAAAGATAGATACACCATGTATTTATTGAACTGCCAGGACAGTACTGTTTAAGAGTATATCTTTATGATCTCCTTCAAGTTTCAGTGAATTTATCAGATCAGGTACTTAAGGTCTTGAAATCTAACTGAACAACAGCAAATATATATATATATATATATTGTATTTGCAGTTTGCTTTAATTGCACAAACAGCTAATGTGATGCAAGTCAGAGGACATCTTGGAGCATGACTGAAAATCTGAAGGTGGAAAAAGAACTGGACAACTTATTTAGTAACCACTCTGACAGCTTAAAATGATCTGGAATTCACAGCATACAATGTTTGGACTGCTTGCTGCATTTGAGGGGGGTCAGCTGTACAACCCAAATCACCCTCAGGATTTAGCCAAAAACTGCTAAGGATTTTTCCCCATAGTGTAATCTTCTGAGAAAACTGAAACTTTGAGGTTTTGCGTTAAATCTTCATGCATTAAGGTCTACTTATACTTCATAGAGAAAAAAAAAAGGCAGCTTGATACAGCTTTTAGAAGTGTAAACAAAGCCTATTACAACCCTAAAGTTGTTATGCATGGACTGAGGGACCTAAGGAGCTGAGCTAGGGAGTACTCCTGATCTCAGAGCCCACTCTGATGCTGGAGCCAACTGCCTTTGCTGTTAACATATCCCGTTACAGTGTTAATTAATTACCATTCTCACGGCTCTCAGTATGGACTCAGAAGTAATAGAGGCTAGGAACAACTTTCAACAGCTGGTATGAATGTGTACACCCTGCTTTGGAGGGTAAGGAAGCTTGAAATGGTCATGGTCAGATTCCAGTTATGTCCTGGCACTATTCCATTTACAAGATAGATGCACCAGCATTATCCCTTCTCTCCAGTGCCCTAAAGAACTGGTCTAAAACATCACAGTATGCTCAGATCCCTGAGGTGTACAAGCTAAGTAGCAAAGCTAGGGCTGCTGCCATAGCAAGTACCTGCTGCTCAGTCTGACTGTGTCAGAAGACAACCAGAAAATCTAAAAACCATAGGCTCAATTTTATGTGAGGGGTCAGAGGCACAGAAGAAGGGCTAGAAATGTGTGTATTTTTTTCTGTTGAAGTTTGTTATTTGTGGCAAGTAATTCACCTGATTTTTTTTTCCCACATAGTATCCGTTACTCGGTAAAATATTTATGTTCCAGAAATGCCAGGTTTAGAAATTCTCATGTCCAAAGGACTCACATCTTAGGTTTCAGTGTGAAAACAGTTCATGCATGGAACATGAACAAGTTAGTGCAAGAAGTGATAATGCTTTAATACTACTTTATGTTATCTTTGTTTGTCATGTTGGGAGCTGGAATAGAAAGAACTTTCACTGATATCCTTTGTGCCTTATCTCTTCTGAAAGGTCTTTGAGGGTGAAAGGTGAGCAGCAGAAAGGCTCAATATTGTGTAATGCTCACAAACCTTGATTATAGGATAGTAGTATCAGTAGGATACTCTGTATACTGTTTTACAGGTTTTTTTATGCCCTCAGCAGCAGGCAGCAGGTGGGGCAGGCTTACATTTGGCCTCAGAAACCTTTTTCTCTCAAAAAAATAAAACACTGTAGTCACGTTGAGAGGTCTTCAGTCTGCTTTGTTCCCCACAGAGCCATGGATCCCCCCTGTTCCCAGAGTACAAGGATTTGCTGTGGGCAGGCCAGTTGGCACTAGTCAGATTTTGGATTCCAGATACAGGAAAGCAACATTCAGCAGACAAGAGATCTTCTTCCATTTAGGCTATCATTTATCCCATAGGCTAAAGGAGAACCATCACTCACAGTGGTTTTGTGTTCCTCTTTCAGAAGCTGAGGAAAGCAGAGGGGTGAACAGAACTTACTTGTGTGTCTACTGTATGATGCATCTTTTTATTCCTTCACACAGATTCCTGTCCTGGAAATAGGCACAACCTAACTCAGGAAATTAAGTGTATGCATAAGTTTTTGCAGGATGAGGTCAAAGTAAGCCCTAGAACAAGCAAGGAATTCAAGTTCAAGTTTAGCTCAGTGATCAACAGTAATCCACATCAAAAGTCAGCCCATGGGAGTTCAGCGCAGTTATTTCCAATCAAAAAGATGGTCAACTATGCACTCTGGATAGCAGACTTTTATTGCTGTGGAATTTGTGGAAACAAGGTAATTTGTGGAAACAATCTGTGGAAACAAGGTAAGAGTTGGCATGTTTTTATCCCCAAGACGAAGAACGGGGATAGGAGTAAAGCAGACGCGCACAACCCGCGCCCTAACCCTCATTCCCGCCCTCTCGCCGCGCCGCCATTTCGGCGGGAACGCCCCCTTTCGGCGGGCAGCGCTACGCAGGCGCTAGGCTTCGGTGGCGGCTCTGCGCATGCGTTAGGTTCTGCGTATGCTCGGAGCCCGCTTGGGCTCTCGTTCCGCTCCGTACGTTTCGTAGCAACCGAACGCAGTGCATTATAGGGGTCCGCGTCCTCACCCGGTCACGTGGGCGGCGTTGCCGGGCCGGGCGGCCTGCGCAGCGCTTGGAGCTGGGGGAGCGGGGCGGTCGCCGGCAGTTCGCGGTGACGCTCTGAGCCCCCGCGGCGGGGCCGAGGAGCGCCGCCGAAAGGAGCGGCTCTGCCCTGGGATAAGCGGCACGGCGGGCGGACCCCAGGCCGGTGCGGGGCTGTGCCGGGATGTGAGGGCGTCCTCCTGGCGGGGGGTTACCTGCCGAAGCGCCTCCTAACAACGCTTTGTCACGTTTGGTGTTTCGAGGAAGAATGATGCAGAACGTGCACCTAGCTCCTGAAGAAGACGAGGATGATCTTTACTCTGGCTACAATGATTATAATCCCACTTTTGACACAGAGGTAAAAACGTTAGCTCTTGCCCGCTTTTCCTACAGGGAATCAGTTTTTGAGCACAAGATAAAAACTGGCAATGTGCAGGGATGCTTTGAAGGGCCACGTTCTGCATTTTGCAATAAATACAGAGCTTCACAAGGGTCTCTTTAAATAATTTTTTTTTCTGATCGTTTATCTGTTCCAACAAAATGCTTTTGCGCATCTCATAACAAGTCTAACATGCCATAAAGATTAGGAAATCCTAATTATCTGAAGTCTGTGTTGGCATTCATTGTGGTGTTTCTCAGTGTGCAGCAGCAAGTTTCCTGATATTTAGCAATCGACAGGTCATCCATCTCTTGATGTGATGGAGCTGAAGGGAATGGGAATGCAGTTCCCCACTCTGCAGGTCCCTGCCCAACTTGCAGAGCATCTAGGGTAGCAAAGTAACCCTACAGACCAATTACTGAAACCTTCTGATGTACTGGAATTGGAGCAATAGGAGGGACTGAGGGGTCTCATTTGGTCCAAATCCCACAAAGTCACAAGCCTTTTTTGCTATCCTGCATGAAATCCCTATACCAAAGTCCATGGAAACTTCAGTGTGACCTCAGATAGATATCTTTATGCGTGTGTGTGGCAGACATTCCTGTCAGTTAAAATTCAGAAATAGTGTTAATAATAAGGAGAGAAATCATGTTATATTTCATCACTTAATCTCTGCTTCTTCAGTGTTAAATTTTGTTTTTTTTTCAAGGAATAATTGATTTTTACACTTCTTATTCTAAAATACCCAGCGAGATAGACCAGCTGCAGTCATTACTTATTGTCAGTAAGACCTGTCATTCAGTTCTAGTTTTAGTATTTTTAGAAGAACAACTTTTTACCTATCTGCTTTCAGTAGTCATAGTGTTCTGGGATTGTGGCTTTGGATGTTGTGATTTAAAGTTTTATTTTATTTTGTTCTTTACAGGATTTAGAAAATGATACAGCTTTCCTACAGGCAGCAAGAACAAGTCATGGTAGAAGACCCCCTGTAAGTAATTTATAAAAATATAGCATAAAATGGTTTGGTTAAAGACCATCCAGTTCCACCCCCACCCCGCAGTGTGCAGGGACGACTTCCTCTAGACCGGGTTGCCCCAATCTCCATCTAGTCTGGTCTTGAGTGCTTCCAGGGTCCACCTATAACATCTATGCCCCTCTATTTTAGAAACAAGAATGTTGTGCCAGATAGCATCTAATGCTTTACACAAGTCTAGGTAGATTACATCAGTTGTTCTTCCCTTATCTGTAAATGCCTATCATAGAAGGCCACCAGATTTCTTAGACATGATTTGCCCTTAGTGAAGCTATATCTCCTGTCACCAGTCACCTCTCTGATTTCCATGTTCCTTAGCCAAGTTTTGAGGGAGATCTACTCTGTGTTCTTGCCGGGCATGGAAGTGAGGCTGTGTGGACTGCAGTTGCCTAAGTCTTTCTTTATTCCCTTCTAAAGCCCTTTATTTCCTTTTCCAGTCAGTGGAAACTTTATCAGATCATCACAACTTTTCAAATATGATTGAGAGTGGCTTAGCAACTTAATCCAGCAGTTTCTTTAAGGTGATCTGATGCATCTCATGGACTCGTGTGCATTCAGGTTCCTTGGATGGTTTTGATCCTCTACAGAGAGCGGTTCTTTGTTCTCCTAGTTCCTGCCTTTGGGTTCTGTGGATATTACAGTAGAGGAGAAGTTCTCTAGAGTCCTCTCCCTAATTTTAGCCCTAGTTCTCAGCAGAAGATTGCATCTCTTATCTTTTTGTCCCCTAATAGCATGTATATACAATTTTCAGTTGTTTGTATGAAAACCAAGTAAAAAATTAGTGCAGTATCAATTCTGTTAAGCTCTGGAGTTAAGCTGGAGGAAAAGCAAACAAGGAATTCTTGTTATTTGCCAGAATAATCTGTTTCTACAACAATACACCTTTCTGTAACAATTGAAACATTATTTCTATGAACTTACTTATAAAAAGACTAATGATTAACTCATACAGTTGTTTGCTGCATTTTTTTTTTTTTAATTATTTTTCCCACTCAGGTGACAGCCAAAATTCCTGGTACAGCAACTTCAAGACCTATAGATACTGCCTTTGGGGTAGGTATTTGTTTATTAATAAAATAATCCCAGCTCAAAGCAGAGCTAGTGGGCTCCAGCCAGAAGTGGATCAGTTGTCCACAGGACCACTATAGAATTGGAAACTTCTGGAGCATTGTCCCGTCTATGGTACCTCCTGTTTCACTCTGCAGATTCACTTCTTCTGCACCACAATCCTTGCTGTGTAAACAGAGAGGGGGAAGAAAGGAAAAATAAATGATATTTGTGGTGGATAGCAGGTAAAATGGTGTAATATAGGCCTTGTGGGTGGAAATTAGGGGAATGATTTTTCATGGCCTGAAGCCTTTTGTTTTTGTGTATTTGTATTGCATGCGTAGCAACCTTTAGCATTTACTGCTATTTCCTATGTTTATTACTTATACAGAAGGACAGTATGTGGCATGTCAACTAATGGAAAAGATACCCACTGGCAGTTGCAAAGTATATCTGTCTCTATTGTAAAATGATCTGTGTGAACGTATGACTTCAAATTACTCACCAAGATTCACAGTTAAGCGTAAAAAAACCTTTCACTGCTTACAGTGAAAATGATGGGTGGAGGATGTCCAGAATGTCATAACATAGATAAAACAAACAAGTTATAGTTTCTAATCTTGTATCAGCTGTATTCAGCTTTACTGCAGAATTTTACATAAATTACTTGTTTGAGACTTAAGAATGCATGAATTGTAATGACTAAATGTCATTTCAATAATTTAATAATGGAAAGTACTGCTATCTTGCCTTTATACAGTTTGCATTTTTTAAAGGTTTGGCAGAAATATCCAAATATATAAAAAGAGTATTGTGAATTTGTGCTAACTGAAGTGTTTCACATCTTCAGGTCTGCCAGGCTCGAGTATATTGCACATGAATAATGTAAATGGGAATTTTGCTAAGAACTTTTATGAGTTTAATCATCTCTTAAAACTTAATGTAAGGGAAACTATGTATGCACAGCCTTTATAGGCTTCTAATGCTCTTTGAATGCCAGTTTCAAACAAGTTACTTATTTTTACAGTCAAAGGCGACTTTAACTTCATCTATGGGAAGACCAGTGACAGGAACAGTGCAGGTAAAAGTTTTAATATTTACATTTTATGTTGACTCAGAACAGTGATTTTTTTCTGCAAAATGTTTATGTTGAATGCAAATATTCTTGTTTCAATTAACCATTAAATATAAATGATGGCACTTTTTTTCTTTTTTTGAAAGCATCTTACAGCAAGTGTCATGTTTTGGATGAGCATGTTATTTGAGCACGTGGTTGCAGACAGTGTCACCATAATTGTTTTTAACACCTCCTGACATGCAAATGAATAATTTTTTTTCAAAGTAGGAAGAAAGCTGGATTCTGTTTTTCATTTTTCTTATGCATTTATACTCTAATAAGAAACTACTGCAACATACCAAATATTTTCCACACCATTCTTAAACTTACTGACTTAGTGATAGAAGAGAGAGTTGCCACTGTTTATTCCCTTGTACCAGTACTGGTAGGATATAGGAGATAATTGGAAGTGTTGGGAATGGGGCTGCTCCCTAAGGAAAGGCATGCCGAGATCCCAGAAGGAAATCATCTGTTGAGCCATGCAGGAGCATCACCAGGCACCACCATCTGAGCAAACCAAGTAGGGTCCACATAGAAATGGTGCCCACATCCAACCTAAAGTCCAGAAAATCAGGCAATGCCACAGTGATGAGGCAGGTCAACAAAAACAGTTTAAAAATAGTCAGTTTACTGATGCATTAACAATTGATTTTTGCTCTTAAATGTTTCTTAGTATGTAACTGTTGCCTATGCTGTCCATGATATGTCTTTTAATATTTCTTCCTTTTTATTTAAGGATGGGGTTGCTCGACCAATGACAGCAGTGCAAGCTGCAGGTTACACAAAGGCAGCTATGAGAGGTACAGTTTGTAGAAATGGCATGCTATCAGAGGAAGATGTTATTTTACAGTGTTCAGTACTCTGAAATTTTCAGTACTCTCAATTTTACAGGTTCTTTATTTGATCCTCTTGGCCAAGCAAGAGGTCCTGCTCCACCTCTGGAAACGAAAAATCCAGACAGGTTTGTTCAGTTTTTTGCTCTGATTTCAAAGCATTAATAGTACAAAGAGCAGCTGACAGCAGAGCTTAGAAACATAATGCAGTTATGAAACCTTGAGAGGCCAAACTTAACTTTGTGGAATAGAGTCACAAACATTTATCTGCATGGTTATCTGATTCTAAGTAGTTGTGTGTAGTTGTACTGACTTGAAGGAAAGTCTGCTGTCAGAGATTTCTGGTTCCAGCTGTAGCTAGCAGCCTGGATGTGGGTGTTGCCACATGAATGCTGTGATACTGAATAGGGTTGCAGAGGGTTATAAAAAAGTGTATGCAAGGGGCACCGTGATTCATGCAGCTCAGAGGGAGTTTTCTTGCTCTTTCTCCCTGTTCACTGTCTGGCCTTAACGCTTGAGTTAAAACTGAAGTTGTGAAAGTTTTGCAGTCTGCTGTGAGTGTTGGTGAGCTTTTCACAATATTTGTATTCCTTAAATGCATTTAGGAGTAGGGAATCCTACTGAAATGTTTGCTTGTTTAAATGAAAAGAATAAATACAGACAAATAAGAACTTTAAAGCAAAATCTTATAGTAAATACTTTAAAGTTATATATGCAGACGAATTTCAATTAATTGCTGTTAATAAAATATTTCGTTTCACTAGATGTTAGATTTGAAAGTTTCACCAGTTCATGTGTTTGTGCTGTCATTATTTCAGATCAGCAACTCGTGTGTGGGATATTTGCATGTCTGTCCCTTTTTCATAAGAGAATTTATGTTTTCTTAGGTTTCTGTGTATATGAATGTAATATCTTTGGAGGTTCTTTGGGCATAGTTTCACATTATATTGTCTGATGAAGAAACCAGTTAGTAGTAAAGTATCGTTGTCTTGTTTTACTGAGAATATGCTGCCTTAGAGCTTAAGTATTTGCCAGTGTATTACTAATGGTAGTCAATCCTTTTCTTGTTGTGTTTATTTTAGCTCAGAAGAGAAGATTAGGCAGTTAGAAAAAAAAGTGAATGAACTGGTTGAAGAAAGTTGCATTGCCAACAGCTGTGGAGACTTGAAATTGGTATTTATTCTGGATTTATTTTTTCATTTGGTGTTATTTGAAGCACTAATAATGAGAAGTCTAGGAAAGCAATTTGTGGAAATACAGTTAGAGCCGAAGATGAATAAAATATCTTTCTGAACTGCTTTATACCATTCAATATCAATCCTGGGCCAAAAGGCCTTTTTGTCTGATCGATTCTCATGTTCATTTGAGAAGACTAGAGCTCCGAGTTTTGTGACAGATTGCAAATGGTCTGTGCTTTACTTCAGCTCAGGAAAATGACGCTCTTTGATGTACACAATGCTTTATTTCTGAATCAGCCCATTCCTGAGCTTAGGTTAGCATACTTACTGTTACAGTTTTGGCCCAGGCTATTTTCCAAAACAGGTCCTAGGTATAGTTGAAGATTGCTATGGACCTTTTTCCAGGAGGCAGTTTGAACGCATTTGCCCTGTTGCAGATGCAACGCGTCTTCATGGTTGTTAGAGGCTAAGTAACAACTAATTTTATTTACATTTATTATGGATATAGTTAGTGAGTTTAAGCTATTTGGGCAAGTTAGCATTTTTAATAACTGTTGTACTTTTGTCTGACACAAAGGAATGTTTTCTATCTACAATCTAATTCACACCATTTTGAATCTCTCTTTAGATTTTGTCAAGGTAGATGGTCACTTAATCTTACCTCAGCTGTCTGAATGTGTGAGCTGTCTTAGCTACAGTTTGGACCTGCTAAGAAACACACAGCCTTGCTCCTTGTTTAGAATCATAGGATAACTGAGGCTTGCAGGGATCTCTGGAGGTCACCTGGTCCAACTTGTGCTCAAACAGGGACACCCAGAGCAGTGTGCCCAGGGCTGTGTCAAGGTAGCTTTGGAAGATCTCTGAGGAGGAGACTCCACTGCCTCTGGGCAGTTGATGCTGGTGCTCCATCACTCACACAGCACAGAAGTGCTTCCTGGTATTCAGGGGGAGCCTTCTGTGTTCCAGTTTGTGCTTATTGCCTCTTGTCTGGGCACTGGGCACTGCAGAGCCTCCAACCTTTTGGCACCATCCATTCAGGTATTCATGGACATTGATGGGATCCTCCCCTGAGCCTCCTCCAGACTGAACAGTTCCAGGTCTCCTAGCGTCTCCTTATAGAGTGATGCTTCAGTTCCTTAATCATTTTTGTCACCCTTAATTTATATGCAGTTTCTGTTATTCATACAAGTAGAATAACATTTCTATGCTTGTGATTATGGCACATATTTTATGTGTGTGTGTGTATACATACTGTGTAACTATTGTAAAAGTATTGCAACTAAGCTGACTTAGATAAGTTAGCTTAGTTGCACTACTAAGTATGTCTTTATGTCTGCTTATTGCTAATTAACACGTTTCTGTGGGTCATAGTGCTACTTTTCAAGTGTTGTGTACACTTGTGCGCCTAAAGGAAAGGGACATGAGTATATTATTTTCATACTTGTTTTGAATGTATTTTTGTGGTCTTCTGTTAGTAAGATTTGAGGTATCGCTAAATTTCAGTTTTTCATTTAAGGCTCTGGAAAAAGCAAAAGAAGCTGGAAGAAAGGAAAGAGTATTAGTGAGGCAACGTGAACAAACTGCTACTTCAGAAAGCATCAACTTAGATCTCACTTACTCAGTAAGTACTTAGAAGTCTTCAGTGACTAAAGTGTGTTGGTAGCTAATGATGTTTCATTATTGCTATGTGCATGCTGTAATCATAAAATCACCTAAGGTGGAAAAGACCTTCAAGATGATGAAATCCAACTATCAACCTGACCTATGGAGTCCTAATGCTAAACCATGTCCTGTGGTGCCACATCCACACATTATTAAATACCTCCAGAGATGAGGAATCCATCACATAGTCAATATAAATTGAAGGACACCCAGGGATGTTCCAGCTACCTATTGCATTAAAAAAGCACATATCAAAATATAGTAAATGTAAGCTCCATACTTCAAAAATAATTATGTAGGAAATGTGATGTGTGAATACAAAGGAGAAGAAAACACAAGAATCTACCATTGCCCTTATCTTGAACCATTAAGTATCAGGGAACATATTATAACAGAAAGTATATTAGTATCTTGACTTGCTGTAGAGAAAGTGCAACAAGTTAGGCAGATTTAGTTGCTTATTTCACAGAGAAGTTTCCAGTAAAGCTGAGATAAATATTGGGGATATTTTACCTGACTCCAACTGAACTTCTTTTTTTGAAATAGCAGTTCAAAAAGTTCTCTTCATAAACTTAGCAGGACCATTTTCCACACGATGAGAGTCGTAAATTACACCGTTTCTGAGTATCATTTTAAAGAACAAAGGAGCATTAAAGATGGGAAAGTTAAAACTGGCAAAAGCCGTATTTCTTAGGTAAAATTTATCTGAAAGTATCGACTAGGAGTTCAAATTTATTACAGTTGATATAAGAACATTCTTTTCCCATACCTATAATTTTTTTTTTGGTCTAGGTTCTTTTCAATCTGGCCAGTCAGTACGCTGCTAATGAAATGTATGCTGAAGCACTGAACACTTACCAAGTTATAGTGAAGAATAAGATGTTCAACAATGGAGGTAGGTTATGTATCAAAATGAATAAAAATTGGTAGTCATGCATTCGAAATCAGGACCTCATCTCTATGTATTGACTCAAAGAGACCTCAGCTCTCACATCTGCCAGGATGAGTGGTGGATGCTCATACTGCTTGGCTTGGTATAATTTAGTGTGGTTAACACTCTTCCAGCTCATGCAGTCTTTTCTTTCCGTAACAGAGCACAGAGTCAAATACACCATTTGCTCATGCAACATACTATGTTGTCTACTCTGATATTAATTTTTTTTCTCTTTTGACTCAGCTTGCTCTTTCTGAAATCTTCCTTCAGATGTGTTTTGCACATCTTTGAGACTCCTGCAGATTCCACCAGCTCTTTCTCTGAGGTGCTTATTTACAGCTGCCTTCCTGGAGCACACCATAATAAATGTCTAGTTCATCCCTCAGTTCACAATCAAAAATGAGAGATATGTCTTACATTGATAGTCTTTTTTTCAGATTTTGCTATTATTTTATCTTCTTCTGGGTCAGAGTTACCTGGAGGCTGTTCCTTGTCATGCTCCTTTAAAGGATGACTGTAACAAAGACTGATTTTAGTGTTAAAAAAAAAAAAAAAAGTTATTCTAATCTCCCTTTGAACTAGTTTTAAAAGTTGCTGTAACTATGCTTTAAAAGATTGTAACTCATTGACTTCTTGTGACAGGTAGACTGAAGGTCAATATGGGAAATATATATTTAAAACAACGGAACTATTCCAAAGCTATCAAATTCTACCGCATGGCTCTAGACCAGATTCCTAGTGTCCACAAAGAGATGAGGTGAGCTCGTACTATTTAGCATGGTTCTGAAATGAAAGTTTTGAGTACAGCATGATAGTTAATAATAACGTAACCTAGATCTGATTTCTTTGCTTAGGATTAAAATAATGCAAAATATTGGAGTTGCATTTATTAAAACTGGCCAGTACATGGATGCCATTTCTTCATTTGAACATATAATGAGCTTGTCCCCAAACCTGAAGGCAGGCTTCAACCTGATCGTATGTTACTTTGCTATTGGAGACAGTGAACAAATGAAAAAAGCATTCCAAAAACTGATTGCAGTTCCCTTGGAGATGGATTATGATGACAAATACATTTCATCAAATGTAAGTTTGAACAAAATAAAGGCTGTATTTATATGATAAATCAGGAGGAAGAGGGAGATATGTTGAATGCTTCGACTATAACAAATATGTAAATTGATGTGTATGTGCCTATCTAAAGTAACATTTTTTTTACTGGGATGAATTTAACATGGCAGCACCACTCAGAAATGTAATAGATATTGAGAATATTTGAATATTTTTTCCTCAAAAGATACAGTCTACATAAAATTGCCTTAAAGGTTTTGTTGAAATTCATCTGGGCTGACTTAAGCTCACTCCTTGCTTTGCATCCTTTATGTATTTAACATTTTGCTGAATCGTAAGTTGAAACAAGAGGAGCAAATAAATGAGTTAGTGCAAGTTATATAAATGCTAATAAAACTGGTTATACTCTCTTCTTTTTAACAGAGAGAAGATTTAAGTGAAGTATAGAGATTCTTATTTTAGCTAGCATAGAACTTGCTGGAAACTGAACTTCCTTTTTAGCATGAAACCAGCTGTTCATGATATAAAGAAAGGAAAAATAATGAATAGGTTTAGGGTCCTTTTAAACGGATTGTCTACAGAAAGATAAAGACAAACACTTTATATTTTCTTAGCTATCTTTTTTTTTATTCACACAGCTTCTTTTTCAGTCCTAAAGATCAAAGATCTTTGCAACTCAACTACAGTTATTGCTTTGTAGCACCTAGCATAAGCAAATAGCATTTAATATAATATATAGTGTTTCACATATTATATCATTATTATTACTATTGATATATAATAATATATATAATCATGTGTATTTTATGATTATATTACTATTGATACGCATAGATACAATTTCTTATATTTATTTTAAATGTGTGTTTTTTATTATATAGTGGATACAGTTTCTCATATTGGGAATTATGTAGCAATAGGTATCACTGAACATTTGTGGGGTCAATTCAAGGCTTTATAACATCACTGGTTGGAAGAAAAGCTTTGGATTCTAGATGTTCTTTGTAAGGATAGGTTAGTACAGTTGTAATGGTCATTCCAGGTTTGCTGTTTTGCTATGAAGTAGTCAGAGGAAAAATTGATGAAGTTTTGTTCTGTTCTTCATTTTTTTTTTTTTTTTTTTTGAATCTTTGATCTATCTCTAGCCACTCCTTGCTGATTTGCTAGCACCTCACCTCTATGTGTTTCTGTCAGAACTAAGAGGAATGTACATATGTGAGAGAAACTGCAAGACGGTTGTGTGAGCTGCTATAATGACAAGGTGCTGCAGTTCCTCCATCTGTTGCATACCACTGCCTTTCAGCAAATGCTGAAGCATGTTCTTATTTTCAAACGTGAGAGTTCTCACTGGTATGTGGATGCAGGCTTCTCAGTCAGCCTTCCCAGTCTGATGCATGGGACGCTGACTGCACCTATCAGCAGCCATAATGTGAGCCATGTGCCTGAGCACTGAAATGGGATGAAAGTAGCTGTGCTGTCAAACTTGAGGTTTTGTAGTTAGCGTTAAGACTACTTTAATTTGAGTTCAGCTTTTGAAATGTGGAAAGAAAATAACACTGTAGATTATGTAATCTGCATAAATTTATGTTTATAGTCAAGTTAAAATGCATGTATACTGGCATAATTGCTTACGGTTGTTTTGTCCCCATCCAGGATGATCCACATACAAATCTACTGATTGAAGCCATCAAAAACGACAGTTTAAGACAAATAGAACGTGAGAGGTAATAGCGGAGTCTGTTCCTTCTTGACTGTGATGCTGTAGGATTTTGTTCCTGAAAGTATTAAAAGTGAGCCATCTACCTCATATGTGGTGGGTTGTGCTGCTTAAAGCTTGCAGCTTTAGGTTGTTGTTTTGTTGTTTGTTTGTTTAATGAAACTACAGTGTGCAGAGAAGGGAAAACATTAAAAACTGAGAGCACTGTCAAGATACGAGGCAGCAGGGGGCTGTTAGATTGAATTGTCAGACTGTCTCCTGAGCGCAGGAAAGAGCGAGAACAAGGTTTGGTTATTTCTTGCAGACTGATTTTGAAACTGTGATGTGTTTGTGTGTTGGTTTTAAAGTTGGTTAATGTTTGTTTGCTTGTTTTACCTTAGGAAGTCCATGGCAGAGGATTATATCATGACAGCTGCTAAACTGATAGCACCAGTAATTGAGACATCTTTTGCTGTGGGCTATGACTGGTAAGGGTTCAGTAAGGCTTCTTTCTGTCTAACCTGTGTGCCAGTCTGGTGTTGGTTATGAAACATGAGGGTTCTGGGGAGTGCAGTTTGCTGCACATCTCAAGGGTAGGGTCCAGGCTGTATTCAGTTTGACCCTGTAATGCACTGGAGAAGAAAACAGAACATATTCTGTGTTTAAAAAAGAATTTTGTTGCATCAGTGAAACTTGGCAATGAATTATATGTTTTAATCTGCTGTACGTGAGCATAAAGGAAGCTTTGTAAAATTCAATTGAATTTGAAAATTCCAGAACTTGCTAAAAGTCTCAGCAGACATGATGTCCATGTTCACACAGATCACAACGGTAATGGGTCTTTAAGTTAGAAGACAACATAATGAAGGCTTGTCATTATATAGAACATAGGTATCTAAATATTATTAGGAATGTTTATTTGCATTTTATTTGTAAATTTAATATTTATATGTATATATGTGTGAAACAACAGTTTTTTTTTTTTTAATTTACAGCTTAGTTTTTGCTTTCTGGTGTATTTGTTACATCAGAGTTCTATTTTCTTTAAAAGAAAAAAAAAAAAGGACAATTTCAGTTAGGACAGCATAAAAATTATTAGTGGCAGTGATGATCTCCAGATATCTCTTCCAGTCCCTGTTACTCTGTGAAATAAGTTTTATGGGAAAAGGAAACTTTCCTTCCTGGCCTTTTGTTGGCCAATTAGGAGTATTTACAAACACTGAAGGTCCTATAATTCTAGTTCATTAATTAAGTAACTTACAACAAGATGAAATAATGAAATAATCTCACTGAAGACATGCTTTGTCTGCCAGAGCCCACAAGGTGGTGTCTGATGATTTAGTATCATCTAATTCAGTCATTTCCCTGCTTCTGCCTTCTGACTTACTAGAACAGTATGCATAGTGAATATTATTTTGTTGCTTTGCAACTTAGCATATGCTTAGTAAGGCTGATTTGTTTGCTCTGTAGCTTGTGTTTGGGTTTTTTTTTTTCTCATTCAAGAAATCTTAATAAAGTTTATTTATTTCAGTTTGTCAGATGCTCAGTTTCTTTCATGCATTCCACAAAATACTGTTCATTAAGTAGAATGTAGTCTTTCATACCTGTTCTGGGTAACTAAAGAACTCAGCAGTGAGATGTGTAGAATTGTTGGGTGGGTGTCAGGACAGATTCTCTTCCCCCTTCAAGGCTGAGGTATTGAAGTCCTGTAAAGAAGTTGTAGATCTTAGCTTAACCAGCATTTTGAGCTTGTTTTCCCAGATATTAGTTTGAGTCCTCTGAATACTAAATATACTTCTCACCAAGTGAATGTTCCTTACAAAAATAAAGTAGGGACAAATATTCTTTGGATTTCTTAGCTTCTTACATAGAGTTCTCAACATAATCTTGGGTTTCCAGAAAGAAATCAGTGTTACAGCATTCACTCAGTCTTGGAAAATGACATGATATTTAGGCAACTGACTGAAGAAAGCAGAGGCAGTGTTATTGAGGTAGATTATAAGAAAAAAATGTGATTTAAAATGTTTTTATGGAAATGCTGTTTGCCTTTTTAAAAAAAGGAATAGCTAAGAACCCCTTTGGGAAAAGGAATTGACAGCAAGAGTATGTACCTTGAAGTGGCATTTGCAAAGATACATTTTGTACATCAGATTTGTTTCTGTTGCAGGTGTGTTGAAGCAGTAAAAGCTTCCCACTATGTAGAGTTAGCCAATGACCTGGAGATAAATAAAGCCACTACTTATTTGAGACAACGGGATTTTAACCAGGTATAGTAACTTTTCACATCATTTCTTTTTAATATGGAATTGTCAGAGACATCTTATGTGGCCATAGCACATTTTTCAGCAACAGTAGGGATAATTTAGGCAAGCACAATGATTGTATTGATGCTGCTCGTTAAGGTAACTTAATACTGGAGAGAGAACAGTTAATCTCAATGAAATTTCTACTGTAGAAGTTGCAATGAATGCTATTCACTTCAAAATTAAGACACCTGAATTTTGTTATCTTTCCTGGCTGTCCAAGTCATGATTACAATTAATGCAGATGGAGTCAGTGCAGTCAGTGCAGCCTTAAGGGCAGTTTCTGCTGATGAATTTTGTGCTGAGCTGATCTCATGGCAAAAACTGTTACCAGTCTCTTGTTAATATGTACAGTATAATTTTAGCTATAGCTTTCCTTTACTATGTATATAAATTGCCACTGAAGGTGTGGTGAAGATTTATACCACAGCTCCCAAGGTTCAAGCTTTTGTTATTGTCTAATGGCATGTGCATTTTTTTGTAGTGAGTTTTAAGTCAAATGCACTTCTTGCTTTTAATCAATTTTCTTATAGATTTCAGGACAATGGATAAGAGCACGTTTTCATCATTTCTTTGCCTATGAAAGAGGTTCATTTTGAAATGATAGCAGTTAAAAAAAAAACAAACAAACAAACAAAAAAAAACACCTTCATCTAAACAACAGGAAGCTCAGATCAGATTTGCTCAATTTCCTTCTACCGTGCTTTGTAGGTTGTTTTTTATAGTTAGTGACAGGAATCATTGCTAAAAGAGAATATAGCAGTCCAAGTTAGCATGAGTGGCAGGGAATATGAGAGGTCACACAGACAAAATTCTAGCTGAATCTCAATACCTCTGGCACGGTCTAGGATCTTTCAGCTTCCTATCACCTGAAAGGATGCACGCAAGGCCATGTGCTTAAGTTCACCTTCCTTTCTCTGTATTTGAGCTCTTCTGGTTTCTGGAGTTCTTCCTCCCCTCCCTATCTCCACCCCTGCACGTTTGTTTCTCAGTGCTCAATGTGTGCTTTCTCAATGCTCAAAATGTGGTGTTTGCTTCAGTGGGAATTAAGTAGTTTCTGAATTGCTTCTAGGCACTGGAGACTTTAAAAATGTTTGAAAAAAAGGATAGCAGAGTGAAGAGTGCAGCTGCAACAAACCTTTCATTCCTTTATTATTTGGTAAGTGTGTGCTTCAACAAAACCACTTAAGAACCAAACCTGATGCACTGATTTCTGTATCTTTGTAGCAATTTTTGTGTTTATTTAAACCTGCACAAACAGCAGGAAACTGCATGTTGAAAGAGCACTACTGGAACACATTCCTCTGGCTATGGTTTGGGGCATGTCCCTTTGCTGCTGCTGGGTGGAATAGTGAGGTTGATGTCCAGGCCACAGAAGTATACCTAAAGTACAATCTGTGCTGAAGTTCACTACATGCATTTAAAGCCTGTCTTCCAAAGCCCGTCTGAACTTCAGGGACGTGTGCAGTATGTAGGTTAGTCAGATATGTTTGTGTATGGAATTTGTAGAGTTTGAGGGTTTATTTTTGTCTTTTGTTTTTAAACAAGCATTCATTGTTGCAACTGTGAAAACTTCCAGGCTGGATGGAAGGGAATGGCAGGACAGGTCTCAAGTGCTAATTTCTCTGAAACTTTAAAAAGATTATTAAAATACATAAGGAATATTTTCAGATTGAAGAATCTATTTTTTTTCATCCTTAATCTTTTGAAATTCTACTGTAGTAACCATGAGAAGCCAGAACAGCAAGAAAACTGACTGAGAAATGACTAATACAGTGTTGGTTTTGTTCATATAGGAGAATGAATTGGCTCAAGCAACAAACTATGCAGATTTAGCTGTCAGTTCTGATAGGTACAACCCAGCAGCACTAACTAACAAAGGAAATACTGTTTTTGCAAATGAAGACTACGAAAAAGCAGCTGAATTTTATAAAGAGGCTCTCAGGAATGATTGCTCTTGCACTGAAGCACTTTATAACCTTGGTAAGCCAAACATGCTTTTGTGATTGAGTTTTTGTCTAAAGGTAATACTAGTGTTTCTGAGAATCTGGCTTTTACAGTTTTCTTGTGTATAAATGTATAGTAATTGTTACTACTTTATTCAGTAATTTATGTTGTAGTAGGATATAATCTTCCTATCTCTTTTACAAAAAATAAACTCATCTGCAATTACTAGTTGGTGTTGGTAAGTCACTTTGTATATAAAAATTGATGTAAATATTCCTATCTACCAAAATCTGCTAATTTTAGCAGTATTAAACCATAATCACCATTCTGCTCTTGAGAGCCATTCCTTTTTGTCATTCATCTTGTTCAAAAAGTGAGATGAGTTATGTTCTTGGTCTTTGATTATCTTCATGTTCCTTGCCTTTATATCCTAATATCATAACAGTGGGAAAGAGTTAAAGAACTATAAGGATGATTTAAGTAATAGAGATCATTGGTGTCAAGGCAGTTACACTGCTGTTGGCTTCCATGTCCCTATTTTATTTTTCTTGGTTCTTCTCTTAATTAATGAGCTGAATCCATCTTTTTCTCATTGTGCTTACATTGTAACCATTTTTATTTTTTAGGTTTAACATACAAGAAGTTAAACAGAATAGATGAAGCTTTGGATTGTTTCCTGAAACTCCATGCAATACTTGGAAATAGTGCCCAGGTCCTTCACCAAATAGCAGACATGTATCCTTTTCTGTGTTATGATAACGGTTGATGGTTTTGGTAAACTCATTTCATCTGAAATATGTGTTTAAGCCATGTCAGAAAGACTTAGAAATTTACTGTAGCGTCCATTATAATTAGGATGATTATGCATAGATTGATTCTCTGATAGTTATAAAAACAAGGACAGAACTTAAAACCTTCTTTGACATTTCCAGTGAAGCAAGTGGAGAAATATGTTAATACTACTCATGTTGCATTAATCAGCATGTCAGGGAATAGCTAAACATTTATGGTCAGTATTAAAGTATGTCGTGGAGTATTTAAAAAGCTGCTGATTTTATTTTGATAATAATGTCATAGATGTAAGCACAGTTGAGTAAAGCCTTAGAGGAAAAAAAAATAATAGGTGTAATGAAAGTGATGTTCTGTTGGGAAAGCTGTGTTCAGACTAGTGGTATGTGTAAGAAAGGAATTGTCTCCCAGCGCTGCGAAAGCAGAAACAGATTGAAAAGCCAAACATAGGGTGGGTTATGTTTTGGCTTCACACATCGCCAGGGGTATTCTATAGTACAAAATTGTTTAACTATTGTTTCTGAGAAGATGCAAACCATAATAAAGCTGTCCCTAAAGCAGAACAGATTCCAATTGCTGCACTGCACTTTTAAGAATGAAAGTAATAGATGAGACAGTAAGCAACCTCCAAAAATGCCAAAGGGTTATGGTTTGTCTTTCTTGCCTAGCCCATGTGCAAAAGCATACACTGTAATTCTCACTAGGGTCAGATGGAGAATTTCTGTGCTCCACAGATCTGTGAAATAGTTTTCCAACAGTGATTGCAGACTTCTTCCACGAAGGACAGGGTTCAGCAAAAACTTTAACATTGTGTTTGGAAGTAGCTGTAGCTCAGACTACTGCAGATGAGAGCTGCTGTGTGGCTGAGGAGGGGAGAGCATGCTATAGGCCTAGTGAAAATTAAAGTTGCTTCTGTACTCTGCGCCAGAATTAAACATTTCCTATGCTGTCTTTCTTAGACATACAGTAGAAGATTTCTTGGTAGGCAAAAGTCTGTTCTTAAGGATAGCACTTCTGCTTAATCAATTACTTAAGGACGAAATGATGTATTACAAAATATAAACTCAAGTGTCAAGGTTAGAAATGATGAGATGAGAAATGATTCTCACACTTCAATCTTATTTAAAAAATATGTGAAATTATTGGCTGACATAAAAGACAACTAAGCCCAGTTTTTTTTAAAGGTGAAAGAGCAGCTGAATGTCTGAACTATTTTTCTTTTTTTCGGCAAAAGATACTTGCTGATGATAAAATATCATAGAATCATATTATGGCTTAGGTTGGAGGGGACCTTAAAGATCATCCAGTTCCAACCCCCCCTGCTATGGGCAGGATTGACAGTCACTAGGTTAGGCTGCCCAGGGCCACGTCCAACCTGGTCTTGAATGCAATCTATTTCAGCATCTCATCACCCTCTGAGTAAAAACTTTTTATTCCTAGTATCTGATGTAAATATCCCCTCTTTTAGTTGATAGTCATTCCCCCTTGTCCTGTCACTGTCAGAAAGTGTAAAAAGTCAGTCCCCCTCTTGTTTGTAATCTCTTTTCAATTACTGGAAAGCTGCAATGAGATCACTGCAGAGCCTTCTCCAAGCTGAATGAGTCCAGCTTTGTCAGCCTGTCTTCACAGGAGAGGTGCTCCAGCCCTTTGATCATCTTTGAGGCCCTCCTCTGAAGCCACTTCAGCTGCTCTCTTCTGCTGGGGGCCCTAGAGCTGGGTGCAGTACTCCTGATGGGGCCTCACAAGGGCAGAGAAGAAGGAGATAATCCACTCCATCTCCCTGCTGGCCACCTCTCTTCTCATGTAGCCCAGGATGCTGTTGGCCTTTTGGGCTGTGTGCCCGCACTGCTGGCTCATGCCAGTTTTTCATCCATCAGGACTCCCAAGTCCTTCTCCATAGAGCTGCTCTCAAGGAGTTATTCTCCCAGCCTGTATATGTATTTGGGATTGCCGTGACCCAAGTGCAGCACCTTGCACTTGGCCTTGTTAAACCTCATTAGATTCTTGTGCACACACTTTTCATGCATGTCCAGTCACTCTGGATGACTTCCCTTCCCTGGTATTGTGTCAACTGCACCACTCAGCTTGGTGTCGTCATAAAGAAATGATTAAAAGTGTGTTTAAAAGAAACAAACAAAAACTCTATCTATGCATCCATACTACAGTGACTAGTATATTTGTCTAGTATGTGGATTATATTATATAAATTAGTTGGAAATCTGTGTAAATTAAAAAATCGTCGCTGCTGTTCCTTAACTGAAGAAAACTCAGCTATGAAATCATGGAAGATCCCAATCAAGCCATAGAGTGGCTCATGCAGTTGATCAGTGTAGTACCAACTGACCCACATGTACTTTCAAAACTAGGGAAATTATATGACAATGAAGGTGATAAATCCCAAGCCTTTCATTATTACTATGAGGTATTTGCTTTCTGTTACTTTCTCATAATTAAAGAAAATATTGCCATAGTTTTCTGTGTCAAGTTAACAACTGAGTCATTTAAACTGTTCAAAATGTCATCCAGAAGAAGAAAGAATGACCTTTGTCAGGGGTGGGGGTTGCAGGTAGTTGACAAAATCTAATTTTTGTAGTCAGGTCCTAAGGAAACACTTAGTCTGTGTTTTCTCCTGTCCAACTTTTCTTTCTCAAGTGGTTGTTATTTACATTGGGCCCTAACAGTTTCAATTTAAAACTCAATCTGACACTCAAGATTAAAAGTGGATACAATAAATGTGATTTTAAAGGTGCTTAACTTGACAGCATTAGTTGGAAGGTATACCTGTGTGATGGATATGGAGATAAATCTATGTGTCTGTGATTGCTAGGCATTAAGTATGCACAGTTGCCTAAAATTAGACATCCTCTCTCCTTTCAAACTGGCTGTGATTTCTAGAGATCCTTTCGTTTCAGAAATAGGAATAAGACAAGAAGCCACTTTGCAGTCCCATAGTTCTTTTTATGTACATGTAAAGTGAGTATGATCAGCATTGCAATTCTGCGTACTGGTGGAGTTGTGCATGATTATCATTTTGGTGCCTGTTTCAATGGAGATTTCTAAGAATCTGCTTTGCACACATATGCATTTCTTGGAAAAGAATGCTTTTAGGTTAGTTTTCTATCAGACTGATTTGAGTGTGAAATTGTATTAGGTAGCATTAACATTTTAGGTAATGTATTCACACATAGACCTGATCTAAGTAAAATCTTAGCTGTTGCAGGCTGTATAAATAGTACTTCAAGTAAGGTTGTATGGAAAATGTGACAGACTTATCTCAGGTAACTTCTAATATGCATTCTGTAATTAGAAAACTTGGCATGCTGTTTTTTTTTTTTTCCTTCCCAGGATTACTTAGCATAGTACACTGCTTCCATTCACATATAACATATTTTTGGCATCTGGGGAATTAAACACACGAGTCAGATATTCCAGAAGTAACATAAAGATGTTGTTTATCACTACAGTTGTGTTTCTTTCACCTTTTCAATTTTGTCAGTCGTACCGTTATTTCCCTTCAAACATTGAGGTCATTGAATGGCTTGGAGCCTATTGCATTGACACCCAGTTTTGTGAAAAAGCCATTGAGTACTTTGAGAGAGCAGCACTTATCCTGTAAGTAATTTTTATTTTATATCTATTTAAAAATGTTGTGTTTAGACATCCATAATTATACTCAGAGATAATTTTAGTATTGTAAGCTAGTATCAGAGCAAACTATTTTGGAACATCATCTAATTTTCCCCAAATTTCTGTTTGTTTACATGGTGTTTTTGTTCTTTCTGTGTTATTTCAGTGTTAAGTAAGGGCCCAAGATGGTATTAGCTATTAGAACCTCTTTGCTCTGTCCTCTGTCATTAAACACAGCGATGAAATAGGGAATGCTTCTTCTAAGTCACCAGGACTTCCTTCTCTATGGCTTTATGTGAAACATTCCCTTTCTGTTTATCACACAATCAGGAACTGATGGTTTAGATAAATGTATATTTAAATGTTCTTGCTGCATTTTCCCTTTTTGTCTAAGTTCTACTCCCATAAGAAGAATGATGTTACAAATAAGGTGCAAAAGTAAGAAGTGTGCAATGCAGAATTAACAATGGATAGCAGATGTGAGTTGGCAAATCACATTGATCTCAATATAGATATTTGAACTTACTGAAATTGTCCTTTGCAGAATATGATGCACTTAAGAACGCAAGCCTGTAGGCTGTGCTTTGTATTCTAAGTCAGAAAAGTGAGCTTGTGAGACAAATGCATTACTCCTAAGGGAGATATCACCTTAACTTATTCTAAGTAATCAAATTAAGACTGTGTTCCTGATTTTAACTGTCAGTCTGACTCAGAGCTTGGGGAAGTGGCATTGACAGTATGCAGATCCTCAGATGCAAAGACTGCTTTCTTCCATTCTGCGTGAGGCTCCTTCTTTCCTCGTGAAAATGTTTTCAAACTCTTATTTTTGTAGGAAGTGATTAACGTGATTCTATTGTCAATCCAGCTTTTCATTTAAAGTAATTAAACTCAATTGTATGTAGGGAAGGATATAAAAATGTGCAACTATAGGTACAGTAAAATACTAAAGCATGCAACGTTCTTCAATTCTGCAACCAGTTGGTGCAGCAAACAAATTTGTGCAGATCACAAAAGTAACATTTTGTGAAGAGCAACCAGTACTTCAGTAGTTGATACTTGTAAGGCGTCGTGTACCTAGAAGAGATGGAAGAAGCTTGGTCAAAATATAGGACCTTGTAAAGTAGTCTTGAATAACTGACATGAAATTCTTCATGATTATCTATAATTATCATCTGTCTTTCATACAGAAATGGTTTCTCTGTGGGATTATGCTGTTATTAATAAATAACACAACACAGATACTTGGGTGTTTATTTGTTATTAAAATAATCTAGGTATGTCAATTGATAAATATGAATGCTGGAATATAGATTGCTGAATAAGTATCATTACTGATTGGAAATGAAATTACATCTAGTAAGCTAGAGCCCTGAACACAAGAACATGACACACAAATACACTGTGTGCAAACTGACCAGTTTAGCTGCTTCCTAGGAAGAGATATACAAGGGTGAAATGTTTAAGAGGAATTTAATAGTAGGTTTTTCCAAATGCTATGCAGAATATGTTGCCTATTTATTGCGTGCTTACAGTGTGCACAACTTTGTCTTCTTTATGTGCAGACCTACACAAGTGAAGTGGCAGCTGATGGTTGCCAGTTGCTATCGGAGAAGCGGTAAGTTCAGTAATGTTTTTTTGCAGTTAGTTGAAAAATTTTGTTTTGATGTTTTATTTTTTTTTCCTTCTGATCATTTCTGTCTCCTGTACTGGTCCTAAATTTTGTTTAAAATTTCAGTTACAGATTATTTTGTTATAAATTTTCATTGTGTGTGCAATAAAGCGTGACTTCTCTTTTAATTCTGAGAAGTATGCCTGGACTGACTTATGCATGAAACATTCCTTATGCTCCTAAGTACTTAAAATAAAGATATAACAGCATAAATTATTTGCTCAAAGTTCTTTAATGTAATTATCATACAGATCTAACAGAGATCTGTATCTCATAGATTTTAAAGTTGCTTAATTCCCATTCATTTTCAACAATAAATGTTTGTTAGGTATTTAAATAGTACATGCATTGCACAAACAGACAGTCTTAATGTGCATTTTCTTACTGGGAATATTGTATGTCAATAAGCAAAATGGAAAGTGCCTAATCTTTCTAGGTTCTTTCATCACATAATCTTGTAAATGATACTCACCTTTTTAGCTGTCCCATTTTGTCATTCTTCCTTCTGCTTCTTTAGAACTCTGCAGTACTGGATCTCTTAACAAATTAGTGATTTTCTCACTCTGCTTATTGAACTCAACAATGGAAAAAGGAACAGGACCTGGGAAAGGCAGTGAATTAATAGCAGTCAGTGCCACTGAAGGAGAGACAGATGAACTGCTTTCCCAGCAAAGAAAAACTGGCTGTTTATTTAACTCATTCATGAGTCACTGATAAAATTTCCAGCTTATCATGTTAACACAAAGCAGATTCAATTGTTCTCTGTCTCACATCAGGAAAATAAAAACAATGATATCTGAACAAGCTTTTTGCTCAGTTATATCATGGAGGTGAATTTTTAGATTCACAAGCTCTGTCAGTCCTTTTCATGGTAATCAAGCTGAACCAAATTAAAGGCTAATTACTTTGCTACTAGATTGGTGAAAACCACTTTTTGGGCAAAAGAGACGGAGAGAGACATAAGCAAGTGTTCTGATTGGAAAAAATACAACAGAGCTCAGCAGTTATACATTTCTGTTTGACCAGTCCATCTATCTGCAGCCTCAGATAAGCACTAGATGTGTTATCTGTCTTATGTGGTACATGTGTCACAGGGCAACAGGGTCCTAGCTGGCAAAAATCAGGAAACTGTTTTTCATAGAATAATCTGGATGCTTTTCAGATGCTTTTAATTTTTGCTGTTGTGTAGTATTTAATTAATGTTAAGCTTGGTTTTCTCAAATTTGGTCTTATAATATTAAATCATATATAAAAACTGAAACGGAAAAGTGATATCAAACTGTATATATTCCTCTTCAGATATCCTTTTTTTTTTTTATAATGTGTTAATGTTGGTAGGAGACGTCTGTTTTGTTTGCAGGTAACTACCAGAAAGCTCTAGAGAAATACAAAGTCATTCACCAAAAATTCCCAGAGAATGTTGAATGTAAGTTGTTTCATTGAGTGGTACTACCATCAAAGAAAACTTTCTTACCTTAAATATATTTGGTGATCCATATGATGTAAGTAGTTTTCGTACCCAGATATTGTTTTGAACTAACATTTTTACTCCAGTTTATGCCCCCATGTAGGGTTATTGTTTGTGACAGCACAAAAATATGATTTAAGAAGTACTAGGGTACTGCTGAAGAAGAAATATGAAAATGAGCTATCTGTAGTTGATTGAGCTAATTTTCTTGCATAGTTGCTACATTTTATAATTACGATAATTGTTTTATCATGAGATTAAAAACTTTTTACTTCTAGTCTCCACTAGTTGAAACTCCTGCTGTGAAAAAATTTCCAGATACAAAAAAAATGATCTAGTAAAATTTTTACCAAAGCCCATCCTACCATAAGGAGGTAGAGAGTTCCTAAGTACAGTAGGTCAAATAGTCTCTAGAAAATCCTTAGAGAATTTCCAACTGAGGTACAGGAAACAGCTTTGAAGAGAAGGATGTTTTACAGAAGCTGTCACACCTGTAATCCTGTAGTAAATGATGAAGTCCTATAGGAAACAGTGCCTGTGACTGGTTGCCATGACATCCTCCTACATCTCACACTGCTGTACTAATTCCAAACTACAAGGCTGTCACCAACAAGCCTACACTTTTAAATTTAAATGGGAAGAGTTTTTTACTGTATTTTAAAATAAGATTGTATCATTCTGCTTTAACAAATGTACTTTTTAAAGGGGAAGCATACAGTTCTGTTGTACAAGATAAATTCAGTACTAGGACTTCTCAAGGTTGTAGGCAAAATGTCACGTTCTCATTGGTCACTAGGAGTATGTGAAAACCTTTTAGAAATGCCACTATTTTTCTGAAAGGTTTCAACAAATTAGAAAATTGAGACAGTAGTTGGACAAGAAATTTAACTGATCTAAAAGTTTCCTACTGCTGAAAAAATGGTTCTTCACCTTCCCTTTCTGGCCGTATGCTCACAGCTTTCTTCCTTATGCTGGTTCTGATGCTGACCTGATCCCTCAGTGAACAATTTCAGCTCCCTTAAAGCAGCAGAAAACTAACCTAGTACAAAAATAATAATCAAAAAGCATATATCTATAAAAGAAGTTGAGAGAAGTGGCTTGTGTCGTGTTCGTCAACATCCCTCTGAGGCAGAAATAAACACTTAGGAGTAGCATCAATGTTTTCAGAGTTTGGTCCAGCGTCTCCAATGACTGATTTTAGGGATCCTTTCATTTCCATTGTGCAGTTATATTTGCTCTTTGTGTTTTTTATTCTATAGAGTTAATATTTCGAAAATTAACTAGAGCAACAAAAGAACCCAAAAAAAACAGCAAACCATTCTGATTCACTTGGCATTTATGAAATTATTTTTAAGAAAATGCTATTGATAGTGGCTCCTCAGTAATAAGTTAGTACCATTATTATACTTTCCAGTTTCCAAAATGTTCGTCAAGCATTTCGAGCTGAAAGAATTGAGCATGTTTTGCATCTTCAACTTACATAAATGATGTTTGTACTGCTTGTGGGTATAGCCACTGCATCACAGAAAGTGTTGCATTTTTATCATAACTTGCATTGTCATGTTGGACTGGAATCACCTTGTGTTCCTACCTTTTTGCAGTGGTCTGTACTGCTATTCAGTATGTCCAGTCTGGGGAGGGTGCACTTGTAGTTTGAGCTGCTAGTAAGCCTTTTTCTCACAATGCTTTGTTCTTCAATTAGGCCTCCGATTTTTAGTTCGTCTCTGCACAGATATGGGACTGAAAGAAGTCCAGGAATATATGACAAAACTCAAGAAAGTGGAAAAATTAAAGGAGATAAGAGAGCAGGTAAGCCTATTTCTTTCTGCAGTACGGACTGCGTACCACAGACAAAGCTAAGACAGTATTGATGGCACTTTAAAATAAAATATATATTAAATTCCTGGTATGGAGAGGCTCGTGTTTTGTGGTTTGGGTTCTTTAGTTTTAAATTAGCGGTCAGCATTAAATCTGTCTGAATGTTTGTTGAGCACTGGATTTTCTGTGATTTTAAATATTAGTGAAAAATGGGTTATGTGGATGTGCTGGGAATGCTGGAGCCACACGCATAATTCAGCTCCTCTGGAATGTCGTCTTTCCTACTTCTTTGCCAGAGTGTGAAAAGTATATTTACTAGCTAAGTAATAATGCAGCTATAGAGAGAGAGAGGAGAGTGCAAGAATTTCTCCATGCGGTAGAACTCGTTTTTGCTATTACAGGACCATGACATTAGCAGGTTACATAAGTATGAAGTAAATCATTTATGTTAGTGGCAAATATTAAACTGAAGAAGATTTCCATGAGAAAGCTACGTGCTGTGAAAGGTATGAAATCACAACTCGTGTTGCATTGAGAGCTGTGTGTGTTCTTAATTTTCTTGTTATTCCTGTGATAAAGTAAGATCTTAAAATCAGCTTCTTAATTGGAAAGCACTGTCTGTGTCATGGAGCTGCAGTATACTCAAGCTTGCTCTTTCTTTCCAGTGAATTGTCTGAAAACTGCATCGTCACATTAGGGCACATTGAAGTCTTAACTAATTTATGTTGTGCTAGTAAGACTTACTGGCTCCCTTTCAGTGTTGGATAATGTGTAAATACATCCTTAGTTGCTGCAGTTTTACTTTAATTCCAGAGGTCTAAGTATGCACGTGTAGACTGGAGCATTTCAGAAATGAGAAGAACTCAGACAGGGGAATGCTGTTCAAAGGATTCCAACTTTATGCTACAAGCCTGCTTTGTGGGCCATTTGAAATATGCTGGTTTGGATTTTCTGTGAATGTAAACCTTAATGCTTTTTGAAAAATGAACACAAGAAGGCAGTCTGCAAATTTAGGGGGTCAAATATAGTGGGGCTAGTATTCATCCATGCCTCTTTCATAATGGCATCAGTAAACAAAGCAGATAACCAGATATTCCTATTCTACAAAACTCTGAATTGAGACCTCTCTCAAGTATGTTAAACAGGCTTTTCTTAGTTTCTAGACAATCTCACTTCGATGTCCATGATATCCAGAGTTCTTTGCAATAACATCCAATTCCTCAGTGCTGTACCCAGGAAAGCTCAGCTATGAAACCAGTTAAATACCAAAAGGGTTAAATGCCAAAGGGTTGTGATCAATGGTTCTGTGTCAGGGTGGAGGCCGGTCACAAGTGGTGTTCCTCAGGGGTCGGACTTGGGACTGGTGCTCTTCAACATCTTCATCAATGACATAGATGATGGCATCGAGTGCACCCTCAGCAAGTTTGCAGATGACACCAAGCTGAGCAGTGCAGTTGGGAGGAAGGAAAGCCATCCAGAAGGACCTGGACAGGCTGGGGAAGTGGGCCCATGAGAACTTAATGAGGTTCAACAAGGCCAAGTGCAGGGTGCTGCACTTGGGTCAGGGCAATCCCAGGGGTTTGTACAGACTGGGGCAAGATCTCCTGGAGAGCAGCTCTGTGGAGAACTTGGGGGTCCTGGTGGACAAGAAGCTGAACATGAGCCAGCAGTGTGCGCTTGCAGCCCAGAAGGCCAACTGTGTTCTGAGCTGCATCAAAAAAGGAGTGGCCAGCAGGGAGAGGGAGGTGATTGTCCCCCTCTACTCGGCTCTTGTGAGGCCCCACCTGCAGTACTGCGTCCAGGCCTGGGGCCCCCGGTACAGGAAGGACATGGAGCTCTTGGAGCGGGTCCAGAGGAGGGCACTAAGATGATCAGAGGGCTGGAGCACCTCTCCTGTGAGGAAAGGTTGGGGGACTGGGCTTGTTTAGCTTGGAGAAGAGAAGGCTCTGGGGAGACCTCATTGTGGCCTTCCAGTACTTGAACATATAAACAGGAGGGGGAAGAGGGGGAATGGCTGTTTACGAGGATGGATAGTGATAGGACAAGGAGGAATGGTTTTAAACTGAGACAGCAGAGGTTTAGGTTAGATATTAGGAGGAAGTTCACAGAGGGTGGTGAAGCACTGGAACAGGTTGCCCAAGGAGGTTGTGGATGCCCCATCCCTGGAGGTATTCAAGGCCAGGCTGGATGTGGCTCTGGGCAGCCTGGTCTGGTGGTTGGTGACCCTGCACATAGCAGGGGGGTTGAAACTCGATGATCATTATGGTCCTTTTCAACCCAGGCCATTCTATGATTCTATTAAATACTCGGTTACCTTAGTTGGTGAGAGAGAGAGGTTCCTAAGGATGGAGAAGTAATCTCATGCTTGGCATAGAATTCTAGCGTTGTTGTTTTGTTTTGTTTTGTTTTTTTTTTTCTGTTGGTGTTATGTCTGGGTTTCCATCCCCTGATTTGGTTCTGGTGGTTTTTTTTTGTTGTTCTAGAGGGTTATTCTTATGTCTGCCATCTGGCCTTGGGAATGACTAGATCTTTTTGTCCTAAGGAACTCCTTCTGTCATTTGTGCACATATGAACTGTATTTTTGAGCTCTAAAATTATCAAGTGTTAAAATTTCACTGTGTAGATTTCCAGTAGGAGCAGCACTGGTCTCAGTTAACAAAACCAGATACAACTCAATTCCTGCTCACAATTTTCAACTAATGCGTGGTTTGTCAGTTGCACACAGTAAAGACCATAAAGATGAATGCCACTGTAATATACCTGCTTTTCAAAGTCTGCACACTGACTTTGTATCTGCATGGAAATTTATCAAAATTTGCTGTTCTGGCACTATTTTGCCAGAATAAGTATATCCATATGAAATTTATACCAAAATAAATATTCTGCAGTACTTTCTTCACTCGGTCTGAAATATGGGCAAGTTTTTAAATACTTCCAGACAAGAATCTGGGAACATCTGTGGGCTTCATTCACCGTAGAAGTTTTTCTCCCTGTCTCTCACAGCACTGGATTTTTGTTGTAACCTTCATGCCTTTTTTTTTCTTTTTTTTTTTTACTTCATTAATATTTCTTTTTCATGTTTCAGTTTAAAAAAAGACAGGTATTAATATAAAAGTTCACATAACCTCCTTGGCTCCCTCATGTACATACATTACCATTTATTTCCTTTAAGTGAGCTTAATGACTGAAAAAGTGGGGCTGATTGGGTGTGGTGTGAAGTGACGATCCGTGCAAACACAGAGGGGGACTTGCTGTGTTCACCTTCAGGCATCTACATCTGGACTCATCAACCTACCTTTCTTTTGCAGTCTTAAGAGAAAAATTTTTGGGGTGGAAATGACTGGGCCTATTTTAAGTATCTGCTTTTTACTCGGGACTGTACGGGAATTAGTCATATGCTTTGGCTTTAGTACTTCTGCAACACTGGGGGAGTAAAGTCCAAGGATGAAAACACCACCACAGCACTACCATGTAGGGACCACTTCCCTCTGACAGACAACAGCTGAACTTCTGCTGCTGGACTCTTGTCAGTCCTTCACTGCCTGGACAGTCTGAACGTTTTTCACAAAGCGCTGGACTGCGAACGGAATGCTTAGCCCAGAACTGAGAGAACATATTCCAGACTTGAAGATTTCCCAAAATAAATACAAAATACAAGGATTCTGGTCCCAGGCTGGATAGTTCCAACACCATTCCAGGTTTCATGCTAGGCATGCTGCTTTCCTGTCTGACTCCTGTGAATTTTGATTTAAAGGCTCTTCCTTCTTCTGTTGGCGAGAAGCTTGGAAGTTCTTTCACATCTGTGTCATTCCAACTTTGCCAGACTCCATGTTACTTTACTGGTGAAAAATGAGTGAAGCTACAGTAATTGTCCTGAACACGTGATTAAGTAGAGTAGCGTGCACACATTTTATGCAGAATCTGAATTCTGTAGGATACAGAGATTACTTTTATTGATAGATGAGTGCTTGAAATGCTGACTGTTTGTACCTGACCATAAAACAGTCCCTTTCTGAGATGTACCATCTTGTAACTGACAGTATGTGTGTATGAGAACTTTGGTGTTTAGCCAAGAGAAGCCATTTCTGCCATGTGATACAGAGGTATTGCTTTGATAAACTGTCAGAGTTTTCAAATAGCTCTAAAAAAAACACAGCTGGAAGATGTTTATGGTACCTTCCTCTGAGCAAGAGAGCTGAGTTTTTAAGCATAGTTTTTTGAAGTATTTGCCTTCACCTTTATCTTACATTTAACACTCAGCAGCAAATTAAGTTTTGCTGTAAATTGCAGTGCCATGCCAGGTATTCAAAATTTAAGACCTATGGGGTGAATAGTTCTTTTCATACATTTCCTTACTTTCCCCCTCCCTTGAAACGTTACAATAATAACACGCCTGTGGGATTTGCAAGACATTAATGAGCAGAAGCTACTTTGAACTCATGCAAGGAGATCTACGTTGCCTGTTTTTTCAGCTGTACTTCACAGAGGTTCATCTGAACTATTTTTTTGTGCACGTTCCTTGTATAAATTTTATCTGAAGAAAAACAATGTATTGAGATAGTCTGTTTGAATTTCACAGGACTCTAGTTTTACATAAACATTGGCTTTAACACTGATACTGGGACAATTCTGTGCTTTGAAAACATAGAGTTTATTAGTTACAGTAGGATAAACGTAATTTAATGTTCTTCTTCTGTTTTAGTAATAAGCTAGGTTGAGTTTTTAATAATTATTTCTAACGTATATTAGTAAATGGGGGTTCTGTTCTGTTCTTTTTAAACCTGTTTCGCTGTTCTGCAGCGCATTAAATCTGGCAGAGATGGCAGTGCACGTAACCGCAGGGAAGGAAGTGCTGGTGGAGGTAAGTACTTAATGCCTCTGCTTAAATATCGGGCTTGTCAGGATTTGAAAGAAAATAGTTTTTCTTAAATGCAAGGAGGTTCTACAAACATTTTATAAATGCACACAAATAAGCATTGAGTAATAATCAAGCAGTGTTTGTTGCGAGTTCAAGACTCTACTTTGTGCTACCAACCCTGTAATTGGAAGACCTCTGTTTTACCTTCTTGCTCATTCTTCCTCTTTTCCCAGTATGGCAGAGATGAAGTGCTAGAGGCTTCCTTAAAGAAAAGCTCATTCTCTTGACTGTTAAGTCTCTCTGCTCCCATAGATCCACAATGCTGAGTTTCTTAAATGTAAAACTGCAGGAAGGTAAATCTGGAAGCTTGCCTGTGTAGTCTTTTCCGCACTAGGCAGTCTGCATATTACAGAGCTAATGATTTTTCCCTTCCATTATTAAATCCATGAGACATTAATACTGTTAAATCTGACTGTTCCCCTCTGCTGTTCTAGGAAACTACCAGACTTCCAGCTACTTTGGCCAGCTGGAATAAAGTCCATTTTGACCCAAATAGGAAATTATTCCTTGGTATTCTGCTTTCATTTTTATTTTGCATCGTTCAGTATCATAAAAGATCTCACCCAGAAATTCTTAATTTCATTCTCTTCCTTTTTCAGTGAAACACTTCTTGCATTTTTTTCTTAACTGGAAACTAACTGATAATTTTATTTATCCACTGACATAGCAGAAGTTTTATTACATTGATCCAATTCTATAGGGTCATGAAAATTACTAGCATCATGTTAAAAGGAATATTTTAGAATGCTTTGGTATTTAGGAAGACTGCCGTACTGAGTTCTCTAAGGGGTAAGAATTACTACTGGATTCTTACGAGTTTTCATTTCTTTTTTTAGCTCAGCAGTTTCTCCAGAGAAGCTTTTAAATCACTTCTTGTTATGTAGGAAAAAATATAATTCGCCTAGAACTTAATTTTACCTGATCTGAGCCTTAGGCCAAATAATTCTCAGGGTGAAGTTCCTTATTTTGGTAACAGAAAAGGATGGAAATGTCTGGGATCACTTTTCTAACATAAACTCTCTGATGAGACAGTCAACTAAAGGTACAGTAGCTAAGGGTAGTCACTGCTGTGCAAAACACTGCGTCAAGCATCCAGGCAAACAGCACAAAGGGTCTCTCTTCTTACAGTGATCTTTTGTCATGATGTCTACCTGCCTTAGTAACAAAAATAAAAAGTAGAAAAATAAAGGCAGAATCAGGTAGCATCAGTAATTTAATAATAGAGAATATAAATGACAAGCAAGTCAATCATTTATTTAAAGACAGAAATATCTTATCTTAAAAATATTATTAGAAAGAAAAAAAGAAAGGTGGCACCCCCTAAAAAGGTTGAGCATGTCAGGAACTTTCAGTGCAAACTCCACTAATTCCAAGGGATTATTTCCCCTCCTCAGTCAGAATAACTGGAGAAAAGGAGGACGGGAGGATAATCAAGATCAGAACTGACCTAGAACTTGTCCTACCAATAATTCTTAGTGTGATGCTCAAGACATAGTGTCAAATTCAAGAAAGAATCGACAAAAGTATTTTGAGAACAAGCCTATATTAAGAGCATGTTTGGGAAGCCTCTGTTGTATGAAGTTGGTGCCAAAGATCCAGCCTGCCTGGAAATGACTCAGAAAACAAGTAGAGGTACAAAAAAGGTTCTGTATTGAACCCGGAGTAAAATTTTTGTTGAGATTGCTAATTAAAAATTGTGGTGAGTGTGTGTATATGTATGTATATCACACACATAAATCTTGTATGATGTATATTTATATATTTATATATTTTTATACATATATCTATCTATATCTCAGTGGAGTCAAAGGCATTACATCTTTTTGACCTGGGGAGCATTATCAGTGAAGAAGTCATGGCAACAAATGTTAAGGACTACACTGTAGCTTGTCTACCCTATGCTGAGGAAGAATAAGGGAAAGCCAAAGACTGAAACATCATTTTAACCAGTGTTTGGCATTATCCACCTGGGTTATGAATCTGTATTTTACAGCATATAAAGTGTCTGCATGGAGACACACATGAAGTATAAATGAGGATTACTTTATTTCAAGATCTTAATATGCATTTGAAATACTACTGTCTTCATTACAAGAAAATAAACATTTGTATGCATTTTGATTTTCATCTCTTCCAGTGTTGTTGCCAAGACCAAAAGGGATAATTTTCCTTCATTGTATGGGAGATTTGTTGTCATTACTGACGACAATGAGGAGTGGAATCATGCTTAGTTTTATTACTTACTAGCTAAATGAAAGTACTTGCTAGCTAATTGAAGTGCATATGCATTCCCAATATTTTAGATATGATGCATGTTTTTCTTTCTTTTCTCTTACCAGCCCTGTGCCTAGCATCCCTAGGAGAAGTTTTTTTCCAAGTATTTATTCCCTGTACTTGTAGTAGGAGTATTAATGGTTCAGACTTCCTTGTTTTAGAAAATATTATTTAAAATTGCTCAGTGGAGGAAAGAGAAATCAGCAAGGTGTGTGCTTAGAACCTTGCTTTGTCAATATGAATTAAAACAGAAGCACAAGATGCACCAAACCATACTTTGAAGACTACTCATAGAATATGCATGGATAGTGCAAAGAATGGAAGGAAATCAACCCAAAAAACTAACATCTATGTGAGTGTCAGTATAAAGTCTACTCTTGTGTTGTCAGAGGCAAATAAGCATTACATCTAAACTGCTTACCCAAAACTGAACACATTTGCTCTATAAATGTGAAAAATTTCTTCTCTACTTGAATATCAGATGAATAATTTGTGATCTTTTTGATTCACATTAGAAGGAGATTGCATTAGTATGTACCCTTAACATTTTTGGTAATTAAAAAAGACAAAAAAAACCTGAAGGATTTTTAACAGCACGTCTGAGTTTCAGCAGTTGTCAAAGATTTCCTTTTTAATAATCTTCTTGTTCTCACACTTTCTTTGAGTTTTGCAAAGCTGTGATACTAACATCCAGCACTTGGAAGTTTGGGCATTATGGTTTTTACTGCTGTAAGAGATTTCTCCTGTTCAAGACCATAAGGCCTTTCATGGATAAGTGAAAGCATGTCCTTAAGGAACACCTTACCGTAGCAGTGTTTACTTGGTCTCTGCATTTGCCCTGCTCTCTGAATGAGAAGTGTTGTACCAGATGAGAGGGCAGTTGTACATGAGGCGTCCTGATGTCTCGGACAGGAGCCCAAAGAAGCAGTAGAGGTTCAGTAGATGAAAGGCTAAGCATTTTGCACTTTCCCAGGTACCTAAGCCTAGCCAAAGGCATCTGGGGGGGAAAAACACGAGAAGAATTGAGATGTCTCTAATTTCATTTGATGATGCTAGAGGAGAAATGAGTTTGTCCATCCCAAGCAACCATTCTGTATTCAGACACCCTTTAGCACCTCATAGGAATCTCTTTGCACTAATATGCAATTATATTATGGATATTAGGGCACCGGGCATCCCAAATAATCTTCACTCTGGTTGAGGCAAAAGATTATTCCTATTACTCTGCAGCAAGAACTGCACGATTGTTATTATTTTCTAGTCTTTGTGTGCCTGTTCATACCTCATTAATTTCAAATTGCTATGGGATGGTTCTACTGGCTGTGTACTGTGCGTACAAAAAAAAAGTATTTTGTATACATATGGGAAATATCTGAATGATGTGGACATCTTAACCTGTTTGCTGCATATGAACTCACCAGAGGAGTTGGCTTAACTGATACACCAGAAACAACTTGTGTTCAACAATTGAAAAGTTTTGCTTCGAAGCATTTTTTTCAAAGTTTTTACATAATATTCTTGCTGCTACACTGACAGTACTGTTCTTTTGGGTCACAGAATCACAGAATTGTAGGGGTTTGAAGGGACCTCTGCTGATCATCTAGTCCAACCCTGCTAGTTGACTCCAACCAAAGCCCTTTCTTCTACAAAGATGGTGCCTTCATCCCAAATGTGAAAGGTGCCAAGGGCTGCATTTAAATACATTCTGGATTTAGTGAAACTTCTATAGTCTTTAAAAGCATTGTTAACTGTGTGCTTCATTACTTAAACATTTTATGAAGGCAGACTGCCAAACTAAAAATTCTAATTTATGTCCTTTGTGTGATGCTCAATTTCTGATGCCTTAATATCATCAATGTAATTGAAGGTGATGGCATTTTTTAAAAATATAAGCATAAGTTTATGGGCTTTTTAATGGCTTGGATTGTTGTACTCATGGGTATCTTCCTGAATTGGACATACAGAAACGTAACAATTTTTTTTTTTTTTTTTTGCTAGAGGTGTCACTCCTTTAAATAGAATTATTCCAAGACAGGATTACTTTTGCAGCATCTTGTTTTATTAATTTTTCTGCCACGTGAAACCAACCACTTAAATAAATGTTTTATATTTATAAATGGAACTGGATGCAGTGTGACCATGCTAATGTTTATCATGATTATTTTAGCTCCAGCATGTTACTTTCGGTTGTAAGTAACTGACATGTCAGCATTGGAAGTAGAAATAGTTTAATATGGTTTACTCCAAAGTAAAAAAACAACAAACATCACACACAGTGACTGTTGTGTTTTAATAATTACTGTTACAATTGAGTACTGACTCCATCATGAAAGGATGGTTTCATTAAATCTTGTTTGAAAGAAAGTAGCTGAAGTTACCTTGTTCTTGTATCATGACTTCACAGCACATGACAGCAAGTTCCTTGCCTTTTCACTGTTTTTTTTTTTGCCTTCCAGATGCTGGTGGTAGCAAAGGGGAAAGACTGAGTGCCAAACTAAAAGCTTTGCCTGGAACAAACGAGCCCTATGAAAGCAGCAGCAGTAAAGAAATAGGCAAGTGGACATCTTATACCATGCGACTTTCCAGACCCTTTGAAGAGAGGGGTACTAGAAAAATTATGTTATTGGAAGAGCAAGTATAATAATTACACAATTAGGAAAGCATTTTCCCCATGAAATAATCGTGATGAATGACGTTAGCTTCATTGTTCAGAGCTCACTTTAAAGGATCTGTAGATATTAAGGAATGTGGCCCAACTAAATATTTATGTTACTATTTTTCTGTTGCAAGGTTTGGTCAGGAAAAAATATCTTAAAAATCCAAAAGTGGTATCTTCTTCAGTGATCTTTCTAGTCTGCATTTCAAAGAAGATACCTTGACAGATGTGTCATGTTAGAAAGCAGTCTCCTGTTTGATGAGAGGTGTTTAAAACCAAGCTAAAAGTACTTGCAGGTAACTGTTCAAACGTACTTGTTTAAATCCCAGATGCTTCCTACATAGACCCACTTGGCCCACAAGCAGAAAGACCTAAAACTGCAGCAAGGAAAAGAACTGAGGAAGATGACTTTGCTGATGAAGAACTGGGAGAAGATTTGCTTCCAGAATGATGTGGGATCCACTCAAAATCTCTTTTCCTTCTAAACTTTTTAGCAAAACAATGCTTCTTCAAGATGGTTTTGTACCAGATTTTAAAGAAATAATTGTTGAAACACTTTGTGTTTATGGGACCGTATATTAAACATTTTGGAGTTGAAGCTACAGTGTGTTTTACAATTGGTGAAAAATAAAATAAGTTATGATAGGGTTATTTTACTCCTGCATTAAAACTGCAAAAAGCAGGGGAAGGGTGGATGGGCACTGTGAGGAGACAAGGTGTAGGAGGGGGGGCCTACCATCCTCTCGCCTCACCTGTGAACCTTTGAACACAGGTGGTGGAGGAGGGCTCTTTTGTCTTCTAGGCCAGGACAAGGACATGGCTCCTGCAGCCATCGATAGGTGAGGAGAGCTCCGCACCACCAGCCCTCGCTGTTCTGTGGGACAGTCTCCAAGTTCTGTTTCCCAGTAAACCTTGGATTCATTAATCCATCGGTTGGTTCCTCTCCTTTGTGCAGTCCCTCTTTCCTATGATATTTAAGCATCTTTACATGTGTGTGCCTGCGTGTGGGGTGTGTGCCTGCAGACGTGGACGAAGCGTACCTATGATAGGTGCAAATCAAACCTGTGCTTATTTAACACCCTGCGTATCCAGGAATCTCTAAACTGACACACAATGAGCTCTGAGGTCACGGAGCCCCATGAAGGTGCGTGAGCCAACCGCCACGTTCTCAGGGCAGCGCCACGAGGCGGGAGGCCGGGGCAGCCCGTGCTCAGCTGCTGCCAGGAGCACCGCGGGACGGTTTTCATCCGAGGCCGTCGAGGGGTAAAGCACGTCAGCGTCTCAGCCGTTTTCTCTGAGGAAACGTCAGTTATCCTTTGGGATTGATCCACGCCGATTCAAGCGCGCCTCACAATAAAGCTGTGTTTCACGAGCCCATCGGCCGGTTCTGGGCTTCGCGCGCTCCTCGTTTCCTGCAGAGCTCGGGGCCGGCTCTCTCCCCGCCGCAGCGCTGCCTCCTCCGTGAGCGCCCGCGCTCTCCTGGCACGCGAGGCCAGGGGAGATGCGGCGAGGCGCGGGGCGCGCTTCCAGCCGCTCCTCCGCCGGGAGACAGCCAGCGGCACGCTCCCCTCGCCTTCCTCGAGCGGCCCGAGCGCCGCCATGCAGCGAGGCCGGGTGAGGAGGGGCGGCGGGCGGGGGGTCGCGCGGACGGGAGAGCGGGTCGGCGCGGGGCGCGGGGGGCGGCGGGCGGCGGCCCCGCTGACGGCTGCCCGTTGCAGGTGCTGACGGCGCTGCTGTGCGCGGCGCTGCTCCCGCTCCGCTCGGACGCCGCCAAAGCGCCCAAACGCCCGGCCCGGCCCCGGAGCTGCGGCGAGCGGCCCGAGGAGCTGCTGGAGCAGCTGTACGGGCGGCTGGCGGCCGGCATGCTCGGCGCCTTCCACCACACCCTGCAGCCCGAGCCGCCCGGCCGCCAGCACAACGCCAGCTGCCCCGCGGGCGCCCGGCCGGGCGGCGACAAGAGGTTCCGGCTGCCCGTCAACCTGCGCAGCGCCTCGCCCTGGGCCTACAGGTGACCGACGGGCGGCGGGGGAGCGCCGGGTGGGGCCGGGAGGCGGCGGGGCCGGGCTCCGGGTGGGCGCGGGTGCCGCGGTGCCCCGGCGGCCGGGAGGCGAGGGCCGAGGGCTGCGCTGCGGGACGGGGCGCTGAGGGGTGTCCGACGGACAGGTGCGAGGCCATCCCAGCGGGGGGAGCCCGCTGCGGACAGCCGTGGAGCCCGAGGCGCGAGGGGCGGCCGCACGTCGGCGGGCTTCGGTACGGCGCCTCGGAGCGATCGGCCCGAACGTTTGTTGTGTGGCGCGGCCGCTGCCCGCTGCTCCTCGGAGAGGCAATGCCGCCGAGAGGAAAACGGCCGACGTGCCCCATCAGCCTTTCCTAAACAAAGTGCTTTTAGAAATAGTGTTTGTCGTGGTACGACAAATTAAGCGGACTGAGAGCTTTTGGAGCTAAACGTGTGTAAAGCCGGGTGTGATGAACGCCCACCTGCAAGCTGAGGTATTTGTGCGTAGCTTTTGTCAAATTGCACTGCTGGCAGAAAATGGCTCACTTTGAAAAGCAGGGGGTTCCATTCTCAGCCTCTCTGGGCAGGTATTTCTTTTCAGTTGGAGCTCTTGGTGCTTAACAGAGAATGCTGCCCAGTCACAGATCCCATTTCTCCTTCATCGTTGATACTGTGAGACACTGCAAGATGCGTGTGGAAAGCGTGCAGTACAGAATTGCCCTTTATGAAGAGCAGTGTGCTTCGATGATGACAACCTGCTGTTTCGCAGGCTGTGCAGCCAGATCCAAGGAGTGTCCGGAGGACCAGCTCTGCTGCACAGTGTTCAGAGGATGGCTGTTCACCCCGTTAACTCCCTCAGCGGTCTCCCAGATGCCTTTAGAGCTGTTGTGTATGTCCAAAAAAAAACACACGGCCCTCATTAAAGCACACTGTGACACAGTACACCTTGTCAGTGGACAAGCAATTCTTCTGACATGATCTTGGCAATGTCTTCTCCATGGCAAGGGTATTGTGAAGATCTGCGTACAGCTCTTTCCCGTGTGAGAGAACTTTACCAGCCTACATATGTTTAATTCTTTCAGTCTTTCCCCACAAATTGCTCCCCTTCGCTCATCTTCCAGGAGTCATGGGTGTTTCCTGCTGCTGTTCTTCATTGGAACTGCCAGGGTTGTTTGGTGGATGGCCAAAGTGCTCTCACCCGGTGTCGTCTGAGAAGAGCAAGTGGTCCTCTCCATTTAGATGTTGTACTAAGGGATGTGATTTAGTGGGGAAATACTGGTGATAGGTGAGCAGCTGGCCTGGGTGATATCAGAGGTCTTTTTCAACCTTGGTGTTCCTATGTTCCTATGCTTCCTCTGCACCACAATGGGTCGGACACGCCTCAAACATTAATTTCACTATTTCAGACTCGCATCAGGATTCCTGCACAGTTCCACCATCTCCTGATGTCCTCCAGCTTTTTTTCTGCCAGTGAAGATATACAGCACTGTTGATTTCTGCTCCATGCAGAAATCTTTTTCTTTTTGACCTGCATTTTAATGTCCGAGATGTACTGTGCTATTACTCTGTCTTCACTGGTGTTGCAGCAGTTCCCGTTGTGACCATCTGCAGATTTCATTAACGTGCTGCTTACACTCCCTATTCCAGATCATTAATAATGAGGATATCAAGCTTGGCTGCACTTACCTTCCCCACACGTCTCCCCAGACACCTGCTCCCAGCTGTTGAATGCTGCTTCTTGTAATTCTTCTGCTCACATGCCAGTTTAGCTCAAGTCAGCTGGATTTTTTTCATATCAGCATTTGTGAGAAAGAATCAAATATGTTACTTAGAGATCAGTGTGTAACTTGTTCCATATATAAATCTCAGTTTGTCATTCTGTTCAGTGTGAAAGACAGCTTGCTTTCTATTACTTGATCCTTAGTTTGGTTACACGACTAACAAGACTTAAGTCATATTTGGCATGCTGCTACCTGGACGTACAGGAAATGCATGTGGACTGCACCATGAACCATCTGGTCCAAAATCTTGCTGCTGGCAGCAGCTGTCCATTGGTATTTCAGCAAAAGTTGGAGTAAAATGCAAGTTTGTCTGCCTGAGACTGAAATTCCATCCCAATGGCCACAGGAGTTTGGTGTATAGCTGGGAGCATGAAGCTCAGAATCAGAGAATTGCACATTTTGGAAGGGACCTCAAGAGATCATTGAGTCTAACTCCCCCGCCTCCCTACAGTACGTCGCACAGGTAGGCATCCAGAGAGGTCTTGAATAGCTCCACAGAAGGAGACTGCACAACCTTTTTTGCTTCATTACCCTTACCATTAAGAAGTTCTTCTGCATATTAGTGTGGAACTTCCTATGTACAAGTTTTAGGGTATGATTCCTTGTCCTGTTGCTGCACTGAGAAGACCCTGGCCTCACCCATTTGGCTCCCAGCTTTCTTTAAATATTTATAATCATTGTTATAATCATCTCCTCTCAGTCTTCTTTTCCCCAGGCTTAACAGATCCAGGTTACATAGCCTTTCCTCATACAGGAGATGCTCCAGGCCCTTTACCATCTTTGTGGCTCTCCTTTGGACTCTTTCTAGGAGATCCCTGTCTTTTTTTCAATTGAGGATCCCAGAACTGGGCACAGTAGTCTAAATGTGACCTCACCAGGGCAGAGAAGCAGGGGGAGGATCACCTCCCTTGACCTGCTGGCCACGCTCTTTTTAATGCACCCCAGGATCCCATTGGTCTTCTTGGCCATAGGGGCACACTGCTGGCTCATGGCCAACCTGTTGTCTACCAGGACATCCAGGTGGTTCTCTGCTGCACCTCTCCAGCAGGTCATCCCCTAACCTGTACTGATGCATGTAGTTATTCCTCCCCAGGAGCAAGACTCTCCACTTGCTGTTGTTAAACCTCATCAGGTTCCTCTCTGTCCAATTCTCCAGTCTGTTCTAGGTCCTGTTGAATGGGAGCCGCAGCCTTCTGGTGTGTCAGCCACCCCTCCCAGCTTTGTATCATCAGCAAACTTGCTGAGGGCAGGCTCTGACCCTTCATCCATGTCACTGATGAAGACGTTGACCAAGACGGGACCCAGCAGTGACCCCTGGGGAACACCACTATTTACAGGCCTCCAGCCAGACTCTGTGCCACTGGTGAAAGCCCTCTGAGCTCTGCAGTCAGCTAGTTCTCTGTCCATCTCACCGTGCACTCATCTATCCAATACTTTCTAATTTTCATAACGAAGATGTGGAAGACAGCGTTGAGCTCAGCTTCCGTTAACCTTGCTGCCTAGCAAAAGTGCTGATCCATTAATCAGCTGTTTTCATCAACTTTATTGTCTGCTGTTTGGGGGCAGAGTTATAAAAGCTCTGTAGTCAAGAAATCACTCCTATTTCTGAATTTCCAAGTCTCATGGCTTCTGTGTCTCTCTTGGAGCCTCCCCCTTTTTTACTTAAGGGTCACTTCCTGAATTGAGAGACAAGATTAGAGCTTCAGATTCTCCACAGTGAAGTCCTCCTTTGTTTATTTTTCATGCAGCACTTTGTGACTGCCAGCAAAATAATAAAGAACTTCTGCATGGAGATGATGATTTCCACAGGAGGTTGTTTACTGAAACACAGTAGGGTGAAATAATTGGCAAAATTTCTCACCAATTTTTTAGAATTCCATCTTACATTTCTTTTCTGTAGTGAGTTCCTTGAGAATTGGTTCCTATTGTCTGCGTTTATCTGATGGTGAAGTCCAGTGCAATCTGGTTCCTTTCTAAAACGTTGGCTTGCTTCTTCTGCTTTTCAAGAATGTTTCCATTTAAAACTTGAACATAAGAAGTTCCATACTAACATGCAGAAGAACTTCTTTACATTAAGGGTGACAGAGCACTGGAACAGGCTGCCCAGAGAGGTTGTGGAGTCTCCTTCTATGGAGGCATTCACAGACTCCTAGAATCCTTAGAGTTGGAAGGGACTTCTTAAGGCCATCTAACTCCCCTGCAATGAACAGGGACATGCACAGCTAGATCAGGTTGCCCAGGGTCTGATCCAGCCTTGCCTTGAAAGTATCCAGGGATGGGGCATTCACCACATTTCTGGGCAACCTCTTCCAGTGCCTCACCACTCTCACTTCACTTCTTCTTTATATCCAGCCTAAATCTCCCCTCTTTAAACTTGAAGCCATTTCCCCTTGTTCTGTCACCACGGACCCTGTTGAAGAAAGAATCTGTCCCTTCTTTCCTGTAGCTCCCCTTTAGATACTGAAAGGCTGCTCTCAAGTCACCTCATAGCCTTCTCTTCTCCAGGCTGAACAGTCCCAGCTCTCTCAGCCTGTCCTTGTAGGAGAGGTGTTCCATTCCTTGGGTCATTTTTGTGGCCCTCCTCTGGACACAGTCCAACAGGTGCATGTCTCTCCTATACTGGGGGCTCCACATCTGGACGCAGTACTGCAGGTGAGGCCTCACCAGTGCAGAGCAGAAGGGCAGGATTCAAGACCCATCTGGACACCTACCTGTTACAGGGTAGCTGCTTTTGGAGGGGGGGCTGGACTCAATGGTCTCTCAAGGTCTCATCCAACCCCTGTGATTCTGTGTTTCTGTGATCCTTAGTTTAGTGCTCATTTACATAAAATGTTAATAAAAGTAATACAGGCTGGCCTGTCCTCATGGGTAGGGCCAAACCTGACTACAGTGCTTTTGGAAATAAAGTCATACACGAGAGGGGCTTTCCTTTGGATAAAAATCCAATGATTTGCAAGAACCTTATCCAAGACTTTTTCTGGGATTTAGCATTTGTGTGTGGCACAGTGTGCATGGCCCAAAGGTGCAGCTGAGGCTGAGAACACTGGGGGACACAGAACTGCTGTCTTTTCTGCGTACCCGTTCATACAACAGCTGGATGGTACTGGAGGTGTGACATTCAGATCATTGTCCCGTTGCACTCTTAGAAGATGAGGAGCTAACAAATGGTTTTTTTCCTTTGGCAGAACATGTAAATCTCTGGAGCAGGTGTTCATTTGTTATGTTCTCATTGTGCTCAGTGTGTTCTATATGCAGGTAGTAAGCGTGGTGCGTGTGGAACTGAATTGCCCAACGCCAGCTGTGGGTTTCTGAAGTTAGCCGTGCCTGCCTAATCCAGCACAGCATCTGACCGCTGGATTTGGAAGCTTGAAGACTGTGAAGTGCTAATATTATTAAAAAATACTACATCTGAAATAGCAATACAGGGCAAGAGAGACAAAGTCTTTGCAAGAGTTTTGCTTCTGACAGCAGTGTCTCTCTTGAGTTTCCAGGCTTAGTGCATAAACGGCAGGAAGTTTGTTTTTCACTGGGAGCTCTCAAGACACTCATAGGGCTGTAAGTAAAAGCAGCCTAGAACTAGTCACACTTCATTAGCAGTTCCAGTTCAGCACAAACCCATTGCTTGTTCCAGCAGATGGAAATGTAGCAGCTCCGTACAGCTCCCTGCTTGGTCATTTGCAGATGAGGACCACAGGCCAGGGAGAGACTGTCAAGCTCAGTGCCAAGGGCAGCCTGCATCTATGTGCTTGGTCTGTCTAGTTTGCAGTTGTGGTACAGCACCTGGCACAAGGATGCAGGGAACACAGCTGTGGGAAGTTGCAAATCTCAGGTCATCCTTCACTTTCAGCTGATTCATAGAATCATAGAATGCCTTGGGTTGGGAGGGATCTCAAAGATCATCTAATTCCAACCCCCCTGCCGCAGGCAGGGTTGCCAATCTCTAATTCAGCCATTACATCATATTGCCAGCGTCCCATCCAGCCTGGTCTTGAACACCTCCAAGGATGAGGTATCCACAGCTTCTCTGGGCAAATTCTATTGCGTCCACACATTTGGTGCATATTCTACCACATGTAGTCAGTGGGAACTTGGAGCACACTTTTTGTCCATTTGTTGAACACTGTCAAACATGCTTGTCCTGTTCCAAAAGACTTAAAAAAGGAATTTGTCATGATTGGAATAATGAAGATACATCAACCTGAGACTGTGGTCACTGTATGCACAAACTGACGATCAGTGCATAAAGACAAGAGAAGGACATAAAATGCACCTGCATGATTAGGTTGTCTTTATTAGCAAGTTTGAGCCGAAGATGCAGAACCTTTCAGTATAGCCTTTAATTTCATTACTTAGAGCATTCAGCCCTCCAGTTCTGCTCTGGATGCAAAACTGTATCTACATTTTGCATTCATTTTCACGTTTGTAACCGATTCCTTTCAGTCCTTTTCTCATGGACCAGTGGTACTTACTCCACACTTAGAAATATAAGAGATTTTACTACAGAAAGTAGAAAACCACACCACACCATCCTTCCAGAAAACCTCATTTATGCCTGACTTTTGCCACTTGAGAATTCAGAAGGGGGAAGTTTGTTGCAATCCATGATTCCACTGACACTGTTCTCTTGTTATTAGTGAAAATTGCAGTGTTTGCATTAAGAAGCATTTTTGTGCTTTCCAGTAACATCATAAACCAGGTAGGTGCTAGAGATAATACAGCATAGGAAATACCACTGGCTTGACATATGGTGTGTTTAACATTCTGCCACTGAAATTATTCACATTTGAGTTTGAAATCGGAATGTATCACAGGAGAACCAACCGTATTTCACTGTCTTTTCTTTCTGCTGGCTAGCAGACATTTCAATGCACATTGGTGTGAGATCCTGTAACTGGAAGGTATTTCCTGGGGAAAGTAAGCAAGTGTAAATGGGACAGAGCAGCTTTGCAAAACCTATCAGCAGCATCACAGATGTCTGGCTATGCAAGAACTGGCCACATTTCTCTGCAAGGAAATCGAGTTCCTTAAAAAGATAAAGATTCCAGAATATATGGCCACTGCAAAAATAGAAGTGAAAAAGTCTTTTTTTTTTTTTTTTAATGATCCTAGAATCATAGAATCATTTGAGTTGGAAGGGACCCTTTAAAGTCATCTGGTCCAACCCCCCCTGCAATGAACAGGGACACCTACAGCTCCATCAGGTGCTCAGAGCCCCGTCCAGCCTAATATTGAGTGTCTCATTATGGAGCATTCTGTGCCAGTGCCTCACCATCCTCACTGTATAAAACTTCTTCCAATCCAAGTTACGGCCCTTCCCAGCAATTCCAGTATAAGCAGGAAGCGGGGGTGGAGAACTGAGGAACAAGTACATCGTCACCACAATATGCACTGTGGCTGCACGCTTCATTTTTTATGCCACGTACTCTTTTTTTTTTTTTTTAATTTCAAGAAACAAGCTGACTTTATCAGCTTTTGCTCTCTGCTAAAAACATAAGTGATAAGGCAGTCAGGATCAGTATAAACCTGAAACCACACTATCACACCTTTTCTTCTGGGAGAAGAGGAGGCTCAGGGGTACCTTATCGCTCTCTACAACTACCTGAAGGGAGGTTGTGGTGGGCTACAGGTTGGCCTCTTCTCCCACGTAACTAGTAATAGAAGGAATGGCCTCACATGGTGCCAGAGGAGATTCAGGTTGGACGTTAGGAAATACTTCTCCAGGAGAGTGGTGTCACGGAGTTAACGTAAAACCATGACAAGTGGTTGTGCACTGACACAGGCTGCCCAGGGAGGTGGTGGAATCACTGTCCCTGGAGGTGTTCAAGAAATGTTTAGGTGTTGTATCGAGGGATGTGGTTTAGTGGGAAATTTGGTGATAGGTGGATGGTTGGACTGGATGATCTTAGATGTCTTTTCCAACCTTGGTGGTTCTATGATTCTATGTGGTTAGAGAAAGAGGTAGAGACTACAGAGATTAATAAGGCGAAGAAATGCTCAGTTCTGCTTTTAAGAGGAAGGAACCCTTACAACCCTGAACATCTTAAGCATACTAGGGAGCACAAACTATTGCAGAAAGAACTGTACAAAGAAATTCCATTTAAATTATATAATTCTAAATAATCACATCAACAGTAAGAATGTTAACAAGTATCTGTAGTGCATTTTTGAGAACTCAAGGCAGATAATAAGTTTGAAAGTGCCCAAGCCTTCTCTAATACGTGAATTTCCCAATCAGTCCAAAGTGCAAGACTTACTCTGTTGAACCCCCTGAATTGTATTTTGGGAAGCCAGTCACTTCATACTTCAGCAGGCTCTGTAGGACGTGATCAGTTCAATGAGTCGTTTGTGCTCTTTCTTTCAATTTTTCAACTAAGAAGCCAGACAGCAACAACTACTGCTGTTTATCCTGGCAACAAATCCCCCAAAACATTATATGAATGTTTACAGTCAAATAACTTTATAATAATGTTTTCCAGATGAATATGCAGAGAGACGCTAATGAATCTTTATTATCTGCTTCCCTGTAGAATTTCATATGACCCCACAAGATACCCTAAATACATTCCCGAAGCATACTGTCTGTGCAAGGGCTGCCTGATGGGGATCTTTGGCGAGGAGAATTTTCACTTCCGCAGCACCCCCGTGTACATGCCCACCGTCATCCTCCGCCGCACCTCCTCCTGCGCTGGGGGCCGCTATGTGTACACAGAAGACTACGTCACCATCCCAGTGGGCTGCACTTGTGTGCCTGAGCAAGACAAGGAGGCCGAAAGCGTAAATTCCAGCATAGACAAGCAAGAAATGAAGTTGCTGGTAAACCAGAACAAGCCGTCGTCGGAATGAAGAATATAGGAAGAGTCGTCTGTACGGTATTGGCTTCACATCATTATTTCACCACCTCAGCAAACTGCGCGCAGCAGAGAAACGCATCAGATTATGCTGTTTCTCTGCTTACAGTTATTTCAGTTATAAGATGGAAAATTCTGTTCAGTTGCTCAGATCATTAGCGATGACAATTCATATTAAGAACTTCTGTAGCTCATGTGAGTATTTCTTGCAAATTCCAGTATAGCTTTTTTTCCTTTCCTTAGCACGGAACATTTTATCCATACTTATTCACAGTATATTTTAGAAGATGATGCAATAGTCAGAAATGCTAGCTATTGCTATAGCAGACTGCTGGTTGTAGGTATTATTCAGGAATCACTTATACTCTACTTTTAAATACTTTTATACAAAGATCATAGTTTTTATATAAAGATCATAGTTTTTGTCCAGATGCCAAAACATCAGTTAAAAATACAGTTTTTCAGGGTGGGAAAGCCTTCCCTTATACTGCCTATCAACCCATAGCAGCATTCTTTGCTGTTATGTCTTTGTTTATACAGCACAGCATGGGAACTTTCATTGAGCTGGAGTCATTCATGAAACAGCATTCTGTGAGTTAGCTATTTTTAAACTCACCAAATTGCTAAGGGTACAAAAGTGTTGAGAAAAAAAAACATGCTAGAACGTGATGAAAGTGCAGTGGACTTCCCCATTGTGGACTACAGCTAATTGAACAGAAAATATCCATTAGACTAAATAGAGTTTGCATCCCAAGAATTCTGTGTTGGATTTCATTCACTGTTAACTTTTTAACAGTTTCTTGAGATAAAACTGTTCTGTGAAGTTGAAAGGCCAAAATGTTTTTCTTGTCACTGAGACAAATCACAGCCAAGCCAAACTGGTTAAATACAACTAATTTATACAATTAGTTCTGCTCGGTTTTCCCATGTTACAAGCAGCAGACAGTCGCCTGTGAAAACTTGTAGAAAAGCATTCAGCCTTTCATCTTGCAGCTTACAGGAACCTGGGGGCAAGACCCAACTACAAACTATCAATAAGCAAAAACTTGCAGTTCCACAATGAGGGACCAAAGATTGACTTAGTCTAGAGAATGACAGTAAGGACTAACTGGGTAGTTTGCATGACCACAACGTGTAGAAAGGTCACAGTCACCAAAGTGTGAGATAAATCTGAAAATGAACAGCAGAGAGTATCTTTTACAGTTGAATGATTGTGACTACAATATTGTTGTAAAATAGAATAAATACAGTATGTGTCGAGGCATTTGCTACATCAAGAATCTTAAAATTGGGCTTGGTTCATAGAGGAGAAAGTCTCAATCCTACACAAAAACATACCTTTGGAGTGTCATTGGATGAAGAATGGAAAGTCTATAAGCTAAACAGAATTAACAAGTTAAATAGAGAATTAAAATCACCTAACTCCTTGTCTTGAAGCATAGTCATTGATTGTGCTCTTTATGGCTCTGTATGGCATAATGATATTTTTGTAGTGCAGTCTGTCTAACTAAGAAGCCTAAAAGAACTTCAAGAATTCTGGGAACCAATAAAAGAAAGATTCCCATCACAATGTCAGATTGAAGTATGTAACTGTTTCTTGAAGATGTGTTTTTTATTATTATACCTTAGCTTCTGTCTCCTCAGAGTGGGATACTTGTATCACAAGGAGATTCTCAAAGGAAGGTTCAAAAGAGGCCACAGAGTGTTCAGAACAGCTAATTGCCTCGCTGCCGCCAGCAATTAAAGGTGGTTACCTGTTCTCCAGAGAATATAAATACTTGAAGCTGATAGAGCCATTTTTCATTCCTCCTAATGTGGAAGAACTTCTCATCCCTGGAGAAAAGGGAAGTGCTAATCAAAGACAGAGGGTTTCAAAAGGAAGCAGACCTGCAAAGATAAATATGCATTAGATGATACTTCAGCAGTTCCTTAAAGGTTTCACTGTTTAACATAGTTTTTTTTTCCTGCACGCACACATTTCAGGAAGGATGAAATTGGACCTTCAGACTCCATGAATAATTTGAATTCAATTTGAATAAACAAATTATTCATTGCAAAAGATAATAAAAGTAGCTCACAACAACAACAACAAAATAAACAAAGTTCCTTCTAAAAACTGTCCTCCAGAAAATCAGTGTGACTGACCACATCCTTCTGATTCACAGATCCATGTTTACAACAAATGTGTTAACCAGCATCTGTGGATTTATTTACGTGACATAGAGAGAAAAAAAGTTCTCATTCTGTTGTAACTGTCCTGCAGCCATAATTTTACGGTGTCAGTTTGAGTTTCTTCAAGTAACTGGAATATGTTCTGGGAATTTGTGGGAATCACAGGCTAACACCAGGTAAATGGAACACAAGTGGTTTTGTCAATCCAGAAGAACAGATGCTTCAGCTTACATAAAGCTTCAGGAATTGGATGACTGAAAGGAAAGTATTAGAGAACTGCAGAACCTCAGTGGATCAATAGATTATGTATATTGGCGACCTTCTGTTCAGACTGCAACAAGTGCAGAAAGCTTCCTATGGTCACAGGCAACCTCATGCTATTCTCTTTTCCCTTTTTTTAATCTTCTTTCTCTTCTATGACAAGCTTTCTAGCTGAGCCAGTTTGCTTTCTGATCCAGCTTTCCAGTTAGGTGTCTCTTGAAAGTGGTGTTTATGTTTCAGTGTGAGCAACTGCTAATAATTTGTTATTGAAAAACTGTTTCCTAATATTTAACATCAAAAACTATTAGCTGTGCAAACATTTATTAACCATCATACCCTTCCATTTATAAGCCCTCTCCACATTACTCATGTGGAAAAGTTTGAGTATTAAATGTAGTTTGCATTTGTTTGGATTTTTTTTCCTTTTCTTTAAGATTTCATCACATTGTGGATTTATATCAGATGGACTTCAGCTGTGGTGTGACATTTTCCAGCTTTTAGCCCTCTGGTTACAGCCTTGCCTTTAATTTGCACGGGGGGAGGGAAGTCCATTGGAGTTGCTTCGAGGTTTACAAACTATTGACAGAAGGCAGACACAGAATGCCTCATTGGACCAACTCCAGGCCCAATAAATGCAAACAATTCAAAGCTGAAACTATCTGGCAGCTGTGGCTGATTTGAGAAAATTTTTGTTGTGCCAGGAAAATCTTCTCCTGCAAGGAGGTTGTCCCTGGAATGCATTAGGAGCCACAAAACATGGAACAATATCCTTGGTAAAGGAATTGTTTTCTTCTCCGTAGTATCACTTAAGATATATTGGAAAATTTGTATCATGCAGGAAAGCTGAGAAAATCCTGCGATGCTTGCTTTGGTTTACTGGCCTATCATTCCAAGAAGCTGTTTGCATAACCGGGCAGTGGCCTGCAGCTGCAAATAAGCACAAGATTGCCAGCAGTAATGGGAAGAGGGAAGAAGGCGATTACATGCTCTCAGAACGTATAACTGCCTGTTAATTTCTCTGGGATTAAGGAGCAGCCGTAGCTATAGGAAGGAGATCAGCACGTATTGCTGCTGAGTGGTGTGAGCTACCACTTGTTTCTGCAGCACTTCCTTTCAAGGAATCTGCAAAATATGAGGAGAAATGGAGCAGCAGCATCAGTGGGTGCTTCCCACTTGGATTGAGGGGCGACGGCACGAAGCCTGGCTGGCTGTGTGATGCTGAGTTGAGCACAACACTTTTAATGCCAATTAGAGCTTAATGAAAACCTCATCTGTCATGTGATACAGTGCAGGTAGCCATGGTACCTACCTCTTCATGTGCCTGTGCACAATGCTAGGTTTCCTCTGCCAGGTGTCGCACATGGCTGCGTGGCACCAAGAGGTCCTGCTGCTGCTGCAGCTCAGAGGCTGCAGCATGTCTGCCTTGGCAGCATTGGAAGAATGGCTTCATGTTGAAAGCTTCACTGAGAGAGAGGTAATCCATGAGAGACTGACAATAAGTGCTAGCCAAGCACTGCATGACACTGATAATCCTGTTCCAAAAAAGAGATGTTTGCTGTTACATAACTTACTGCATTGGCACAAAGTACAAATTCACTACAGACTTTTGTGGCTTCAGAAACACAGCAAGTTCCCCATAAACAAATACAGGAAAAATAGTTTCCACCCTATCACTGATGAAGGTTGTGAATGCCACCAGTCAAGCTCTGCTTGGGCAGCTGCCCATCCTCACCAGCTTTGGGAGAAGGAAGCTGGTGGATAATGGGCTGCTGTGTGGACTGCATCTACAAAAATTTACAAGTACCTTCATTTGCAGTCACGCATCTTCACAGAGCCTCTTTTCAAAGCTATCTGGCCAACGTGTGAGAGGCAGCAGTTATTTGGCAAACTGGGTTTCTTGGTACAGCTCAAAAAGTTGTACTTTTTTTAAGAAAAAGAAACGGGTCTCTGATGAAGTTAGCAAAGTTACCTTTTAATGCGGTGGTAGAGAGCCCAGCAAAACAGATTTAGCAAAGAGAAGGAGACAACTGAAAGACATTAACTATAAAGCAGCAATGTATGTAAAGCTTGTATTTGGGCAGCACATTCTAATTTAGGTGGGCAGGAGGGAAGAATATAATCAGTTCTGGCAGTCATGCTGTATCTGCCCACCTGAGGCCTCTGTGTAGTTAAAAGTTTCAGGAGTTGCTTCATATTGCATTCCCTCCATCTACTTGGCATGGTAGTAAACACAGAACAGTTCGCAGCTGTGATTTATGCCAATGCCTACGTGTTTAACACTGCTTTGCTTTTTTATTTTCAAATTGGTCACGTAACAGCAATGGCTCAGGCTCCTGGAAAACAGCTAACCCCAGCTGGGAGTCACCTGTGGGCAGAAACTTTCAAGGAGAATTCCGGTATTGCTGGGCTTACCAGCAGGGACATCACTTGGATTGACGGGTATTGGCCATAGGCATGCAGAGACTCTTGGATCAGCCTTGCTGAGCTCTTCCTCTGCCACACAGCCATTATTCTGACAGTATCCATCAGCAGTCCTGTGACAGAAATTAACAGGAGTGAAAGAAAGAAAACTAGTGCCATGAATCTCAGGAGCACTGTAAAGGGTGGGGAAGCAGCTGATGAAAAAAATGTGGGGGAAAAGTCTTAGAACATCACAGAATCACAGAATGGCCAGGGTTGGAAGGGGACCTCAAGGATCATGAATCTCCAACCTCCCTGCCACATGCAGGGCCACCAACTTCCCCATTCAGTACTAGACCAGGCTGCCCAAGGCCCCATTCAACCTGGCCTTGAACACCTCCAGGGACAGGGCATCCACAACTTCTCTGGGCAGCCTGTCTCAGCACCTCACCACTCTCTCTGTAAAGAATTTCCCCCTGACGTCCAACCTAAATCTCCCCTCCCTCAAATTAAAACCATTTCCCCTCGTCCTGCAGTTATATACCCTTTTAAAGAGCTGATTCCCCTCCTCTTTGTAGGCTCCCTTTAGGTATTGAAAGTGAGGTCACCCCACAGCCTTCTTTTCTCCAGGCTGAACAAGCCCAGCTCCCTCAACCTGTCTTCACAGGGGAGGTGCTCCAGTCCCCTGATCATCTTTGTGGCTCTCTTCTGGACCCTCTCCAACAGCTCCCTGTCTTTCTTGTACTGGGGGCTCCAGACCTGGACGCAGTACTCCAGATGGGGCCTCCAAGAGCAGAGTAGAGGGGGACAATCACATCCCTGTCCCTGCTGGCCAGCCCTTTTTTAATGTAGCCCAAGATACCATTTGCTTTCCGAGCCGCAAGGGCACACTGCTGGCTCATGTTCAGTTTTTCATCTATCAAGACCCCCAGGTCCTTCTC